GTAACTGCTTGATGTTTAAATCTAAAGAAAATATAACTAGAAAAAAATTCCACGCGGACCAAGCAGCAGACGGGACTCGAACCCGCACCCTTCGCAATCCGGGCGAATGCCTGGTCCGCGTGGAATTTTTTTCTAGTTATATTTTCTTTAGATTTAAACATAAGATTCTGCGAATTAAGATGCCAAAGATAACTAACTGAAAATTATGGTAAGAATCCTGAATGAAGCGAAGGATTTAAGTCCGGCCAAGACATTGACTCGCTTATCCTCTAGGAGCATACTCTACTTTATCACATATTGTGAGGTTAAATAAAAATTGGATTAAATTATATATTTAATTAAAAGAAAGTTTATTAAATAAAAACATAAATCGTATGTTCTTTTTATGTTATGTTAGAAACATTAACATTAGTCCAGATTAAGAAACTAAATGTGATAAATGTTGAAAGTACACTAGAAATAGGTAAAGATCCAGGAACTGACTCTACCTGATTACTCTTTTTCCATTTTCTCAATAATCTTTTGAGCTTTTGTTTCTATATCAGCAGTGCTATTTGTAAACTTACTTTTTACGACGTAGTCCGCGGTGTGATGTAATTTAAAATTAGAATACGATTTGCTAATAAAAAAGACATCGGCTAATTCCGCAGTAAAGTGAGTTTGTGCTTACAGAATAGCACAACAAAGTCGCTGTCACTGGACATTTATCTCAGTTTAATTTTAGTATATGACAACATTTAACAATGTTTTATTTAGATACTAGCTTTTGTCCGCGCCTTCGTCCGCGTGGACTTAGTGATTCAGGTAGCAAATTTATACCAAATCTGCTTTATCATTAATCTGCTTACTATTAAAAAAAGTGTTTTTATATTTTAAAACATAAATAACGTATCAGATTCGGGTAAAAACAGCGGCACATTCCCTGTGCAATACGAGTGCAATTCAAGAAATAGATAAATTGTAAAATATACATAAATCCTGCCGTGACTCAGATCGGTTTTAGAGCAGAACAAAGATACTTACAAAAGCATTAGGAAAAACCTAAATTGATTGTCTAGGATGGAAATAATACAGCCGGTAAAAAGATTACTTAACGATGTGATAGCTTAAGATGGTTTGTCAGTATTAGTAGTAATAATAATTGCTGTTAAGTAATCATCAATATCAGATGAAAATAAAGTTTACATTTTGGGAACCGGTAAAACTGTTGAATTTCGTTTAATTTTGGCAAAAATAAGGATCGAAGACTCACAAAATACTTTTCCGATAGGCCCTAGGGGAACGTGCCGATGAGATAAAAGCGTGACTTAAATGGGTCTAAGTTAAAGTATCTGTGCACTACAGTGACAGTAAAAGTTATAATAACAACCAAATCACGATTATAAATGTTGAAGTCCTTTGAAAGACAGAAATACTTTGGTAAACACTGACGATGCAGTACGTAAATCATTCAGTAGAGTTCTTAAACACTTTAAATATAATTTATAATTCAAAGTGTTTAAATCAAATATTAACCACTTTTTAATACACTTGTCATGTTTCTATTTACCTAAAATTAATTTTTGTTGGGAATTTGACATCGCAAATCCGGAACTTAAATCTTAAACAGAAGGTGTAAGGTAGAAAGTGGTAAGCTGTCTCGTCATTAAAATCTGCGAGCACACAGTCGCACTACACCAGCAACACTGGCTCGACTTGGAGACATGCAGGCAGACCAAGTTCACTTTGCCACGGGTGCACGCTGCCTTCTCCAAAACTCTCCTACAGCTAAGCAAACCTACATTGAGCATGGTAACATGTGCTATTACTGGACATGCACATTTTAACAGACATCTTTTCAACTTAGGTGTCACGGACAACCCCCTATGCAGAGGACGCGTGGAGGCAGAAGAAACAGCTACTCACGTTCTGCTGGAATGTAACGGAGTGGCTGAATACCGGGCGAAATACCTCGGCTCACCGGGAAACCTTCAAGAGGCAGTCACCAATGTGAAGGCCCTGGGGGCGTTCCTGGCGGAGCTGGACTGGCTGGAGTGATTTCGGCCATTCACCCTTTTCACGCAAAACAGGTGCCATAAGGACGTCGAGTTGCGGAAACGTCTGTAGCAAGAAGAAGAAGGAGGTAGAAAGTGATAATTAAACAGAGTAAGTGCAGTTTATACTTGTTAAAGTACCTCCGTATAAACAACATTTTCGCTATGTTTAAAGACGGTAGCAATAGAACCAAATATTGAGGTGAACTCACACGAAAGCATGCAACATAGAACTGACCGTGAGAGAAACAGTCCTGTCGTAGGTCTACTCCGGCGAATTTGAGAGTTTGCCCCTGCGACTTATGTATGGTCATGGCGAAACAGACCTTCAGGGCAAACTGTAGTCTTTTGAATTTCATGGGAAGATCATTTGGTATTAATGGAAAACGTGGTACAAAATCTGTTTCTCTTGTACTACATTAAAAATTGTGGCTTGTACTACGTTCCGGTGTAAAGCTTTGACTTACAATCTAGTGCCGTTGCAAAGTTTGGGTGGCTTTTAATTTCTAAATAACATAACAGTTGTACCCATACGCAGTAAAAGTCTGTGGTACGGCAGACCCGGTGGGTTTAAGTTTAACACTTTAGTTGAAGAAATCTACTAGATAAATAACGGCATCGTCATTGTTTACAACAAATTGTTTATTTTATTGAGATGTATACTACCTGTTGTCCTTCAATGGAGTTCAGTTACATATTATTAATTACCGCTGCTTGGTCATTCTTTAAGATAAGTATATATAGCTCTTTCGCATAACCACTCTTTTGATTTTTCCCAGATGGGGGGAGACAGGGAGAGACAGGGAGAGCTCCCCAGAACCCGCGCATGGAATGCACAGGCGGGAGTTGCACCGACGGGCTGAGAGGGATTGGCGCGCACAGCTAGAATTGGGGGGCTGCGCGCGTCAACGTGCCGTCGGTGCTATATTCCTGCACTTCGAAACTTGGCTCCACGGGAAGGAGGAAGTCACCTACCGCTTGACTCAGGTACTCACCGGACATGGTTGTTTCGGTGAGTATCTGAGTCGAATAGGGAGGGAGGACACGGCACGATGTCACCACTGCGCATCCGAACTAGACTCGGCCCAGCATACGCTGGCGGATTGTCCCGCTTGGGACTCCGAACGCCGAGTCTTGGTCGGAGAAATCGGGCAGGATCTGTCTCCGCCAGCATTGATTGCGGCAATGCTTGCGGATGAGGGAGGTAAGAAGGCTACGGCCTCCTTCTGTAAAGCGGTGATGCTCCAGAAGGAGGACGCCGAGCGGGATCGGGAGATGGCCGATCCCGCTCGAAGAAGGTGGCGTCGGGCCAGATAATGGCCTGATGTGCCGCCGCGGGTCGCTGGTGAGCACGACGGAGCTTGTGCTCATGGAAGCGACCTGGGAGGGACGACACCCCCGCATGGCCGGGGGGTGTCGTCGTAAGAGGGTGGGTGGGGCAGGTTGCGAACACTCCCCCGAGAAGGGCTCCCCTGGAGGAAGCAGGGGAACTGCGGGTCCTCAGATGCGATACTCGATCCTGAGGCCCCGTACAATGCCTGATGGCGGCCATCGCTGGGGTTTTAGTGGGTAGGCCTCCCCCTTCTGGAAAGGAAAGCCCCACATAACCACCATGTGGTATGCAATTTAATGCATTTCCCCAGCGTATCAAAAGAAAAAAAGGTAATCACCGTAACCTAGTTTTAGCAAAAGATCCGAAAATTGGCTCGCGGAAACATTACCTCCTAGGTGGACTCTCATATATTTTTTTAAATTTAACTGAGGGCCACAATGATGATCTTTTAAGACACACTTTTACCTCATCGGCAAGTGTTCCCGTTGGAACTACTGGTAGTGTTTGACGGAAGCCTCCTGCCAGCAATACAGTCAAACCACCCATCAAACTTTTGTTGCTGCGTATATCTTGCAGAATCCAATTCAAAGCTTCTTTACCTTTTTTATGAGCCATAGTACTTTCATCCCAGACAATAATTTTAGATTTTCTCAATACTTTTGCAATTTTGCTCTGTTTTGTAATATTACATAATAGAGTTTCCAAATTTTTAGGTTCAGTGGCAACTTCAAGGCAGAGTGTGTGGTCCGACCGCCTTACAAAAGTGTTGCGGCAATTCCCGAAGAAGCCACAGATAATGCAATGTCACGTATGACCTATATTTTCCACAAACACAAATTGAATAGGTTGGTTTGGCCGGTTCCTCCTGGAGCATCTAAAAGATAATTTGAAATTTTCGCACTTCTTACTATTTGTTCGTATACTGACTCTGTTCTTCTGTTAATAAATCATATTCCTGACTAACCCCTCTAAAGCTATCACATCATAGCTAGTTTCTTCAATAAAATTCTGTATTTTCTACTTGACCTGTTTGATTGTGGTAAGCCGTACTCTTTAAGGGACAGCCCGCCTAAACTTAAATAGACTTTTTCAATTTCTATCAGACATTGGTAATAACTTCATCTAGTAATTGGTATATGTCAACTTCTAACTGCCATTCGATTTGTCGTTTAAAATCTTCTGAAAAATATTCTATAAATGCCACCCACAGAATTAATAGTTATGACACTTGGTAAAACACCAACGTGATAATAAAAAGCTCATGTATTTATATGTGGTGATTGACACAATGCTGCCTCACTCAATGTTGCATGCCAGTTGTCATCGTTTTCAAGCAATCTCAAAGCCTTGCAAGAAGACTGATAAGTAGGGTGTACTAAATCTTTTACTGTTTGTAACGCTTCAAATAACGTGGGGCCTTGAATGAGTTTCATGGTGTCACAGACTCGAGAGGTTCCGAATCCCGGTGGGGGCAGATGTTTGTGTGATGAATACGAGCATTTGTACTTTAGTCATGGATGTTCAATATGTATTTCTTTTCTAGCCTTTAGTTATAACTAAAGACTAGGCTGAATGGGCATGTTTCCCTTTGCCTTCCCCAAAAGGGAGAATCTTAAAAAAAACATGATCCATATGAATTTCGTAAAAATAATAATTATTTTATTTTATTAATTCAAAGCTTTTAATTGAGTTTTTCCAATGGAAAATTGCTAAATTACGAATAATCTATGAAGTCAACATGGGTGATATAAACTTTTTGTCGTAAGTGAAACCCAAACACTTGAACACGAAAATTCATCATTCATTAGAAATCTTACATCCTAATTTATTTTTTTCCACAGTGGTGAAGAACTACTAGATAAAGGAATAACGAAACTAGAGATAACATTGCCGGCCTTAGGTTTGAAGGATGTATCTCCAAATGGCTCTTGGTTGGAGCAAAAACAAATACAATCTGCATTGGAAGCTAGGAAACATCACATTGAAGCTCAAAGGATTGAGAAAAGGTTCGCTGATTTGTTAATTTATTTGATATAAAACGATGCCTTTTAGCTAGTGTATTTTTTGCATACATATTGTTAATTGGTGTCACTTATTTTATGAGCCTTGTTTATATATTGTTTATATATTAAGATTTTAATAGTCTAAATCGGAGCCCTATATTCTTATGCGTATTGGAAAATATGGATCCGGAATTGTGTTCTTATTCATTGTAGGTATAAAAAACAATATATAGGCGCTTTTTGTCAAAATCTTCAACACGCTTCACATGATGCTGGACATAGGCCTAACAGCTAAACAGTCAACTGTGTAAGTGGTGGCAACAAAGACACCAAAAGTTTATGTGGCTGTGTGCTGTTTAGTTAATTAATATTTTTTTATAGAATAAAACTTGTTCTAATGTATTATTGTCTAAATTGTTTCTTACCCTTGATATAAGTCAGTAATCATTGTGTCTAGACTCTATCATCACTTCACAACCTGAGGGGGTTGGAGTCATTTGTTGGTTTTTTTTTATAATCTATGCCCTTTCATACTGTTGAATATGGTGTTATCAAGCTTTAATAATTATATTATCAAGCTATGAACCATGGTATATTAGAGTTATGGTATTTTTATGTATGTTATAAGATCTTTTTCCTATACTTGCAGAGGAGTTCTTAGTCATGCAGTGTGGCGTGAGGATTTAAAATTGGCAGAAGTGACTCATCAAGTTGGTAGCCATTGGAAATATTTAGGACATAGTAAGGATAAAAAAATGCATCTGAAACCTGAAGAAGCCTTGTATTTAATGGAAGTTGTAAGTATATCAAGACAAGTTATCATTTTTATTAGTACCTTTCATTTAAATTTCAAACAGCAACCTAAATTTTTTTCAACTATCTGTAAAATGGTATTTCATTCTGATCTTCTGATCAGTTTTTTCATTAATAAATTGTTCTATCTTATTATTAATGATTGTTGCCACCATGAAATATGCACAATAGTATTAAAGTTCTTCTTATATTTACATATCAGCCATTTATCTTTTCCTGTAATTCCTTGTAAGACAACGGTGACGATTCTGACATGACATGGTACATTCTGACAACAGTGTATCTTTGTCATTCTCTACACAGAACAAAAAGGGGACACTGTAACCTTAGTATGAGTTTGCGTCACGAAAACTATCACAGTTTTCGTAATTGTAAATTATGTTTCTATGTCCATTTTGGTGAAAAGTAACCAAATATACTTAAAATTTAATTAGAAATAAATGATTTAATGATAGAATTTAAACACTGTTTATTTGTATTAAAACAAAAACAATAAAATCAGTACTCTTAATACAGTACAAGCTCAAGAAAACTATCATAGTTTTCATATTTGTATAACTCGTACTAAGGGTACTGATGTTAAATTTAGTTTATAGTTTAGAGAATCATGCCAGAATCAACACCATTACCTATCAAAACTACAGTATGAGAAAAATAAGGAACATTGCAACCTCACAATTTAAATGTATATATATATTGTAAATCAACACCAATCTCTTTCAACTTTGTTTAACATTTGTTTTTTTATATATTTCCTCTTTTATTGAAATACAACAAAGAGCAGACTTAATGCCATTAGGCATTCTCTACCAGCCTACACAATGGTTAAATGGTGGAGTCCGATGGCTAAGCAGTAAAATGGGAACTGTTATCTAGCATTGAAATAAATTAATAACTTCACAATAAAGTAAAGCATTACAATTATGCCAAAATATTGTTCACCCATATTTATTTATTTTTATTTGTATAATAATACACTATAAAATATAAACAAATATGTTTTTTTTTCAGAATTGTCTTCTACTGACATTTAATGATATTGTAGTTTCTTTACAACAAGCCTACAGTTTATTATTTTGTGATGCGAAATCTATTGGCAAATATAGAGTTTACAGTTATTTGAGTCGATTGGGCTACAAAGTATTACATCATAACACTTCAGACTCTAAAAAAGAATATAAGGAGGATGAAAATAAAACAGAAGAAAAATCTAAAATAGATGTAAATAGTGATAAAAATACTGTACAGAATGAAATGGATAATATTGATGATACAAATAAAGATAGAAAGAACAATGAACTGAAAAAACCATCAAGCGTAATAAGTAATGAAGAAATAAATAAAAAACCTGAGACTCAAGGAGAAGTATTTTGTAACAATGAACTTAAACAACAATCTGATTGTACCAATGTAAATAATGATGAAATAAATACATATAAAATTAACTCTAATCACTACACAAATTCTATCTCTGAAATAAAGCATAAAGATAAAAGTCAAGAATTAGTAACGAAAGTAAACCAGGGTGATGTTCAAGCTGAAAACTTTGGTAAGTACAAACATGGCTTTGGTATTCATGACCTAAAAATTGGAAATCAAAACAGAACAGTATTATTTTTTTATAAAATATTTTTTTACAGATTCTGCAACTCAGGTGCAAGATAATCTTACAAATAGAACAGATAATGATAATTACAATATTTATAATCAAAGAAATGATCCTCTCACAAAATTTATGGAATGGAAATTGAATAAACTTAAAGATAGGCAGTTAAAAACTAAAGCATTTAATAATGTTCACAAACATTTTGTTATCATTCCAGACTTATCACAAAATCGAGTAGTGACAGTTAATGTCCCAAAGGAAGAACTTTTACCTAAAAATATATTTTTAAATCATTTAACGTATGTACTCAATTTAGATAGTATATCATCAAAAAACGTAGTATCGTCAAGTGTTGAGACGGGAACATATAGTATATCAGATGATGTAAATGGTGATCACATAAGGCGCGTGACAAATGCGTTAAATAGATCGCAAAACGTTGTAGTACCTCCAATCTATCAAAATTTCCGACCGAACATAAACTACCGACAATTTCAATATTGGCGGCCACGGCCAAACCTTAATTATTTCCAATTCAATCTTTTTTTCCAAAGACCTTTCATGACTAATTTCAACACACCTAGATTCCAATTCTACCCCAGAACTCATATTCCTATGTTTCCCAGATATTTTACTAGTCCCATTCATAATACCAATAGTAACGCAGATGTGCAAAACAGAGATCAGAGTACACGTAAAAGAAAAAGGGACAATGCTAGAATACATCACCTAGAATCCATCAAAAACTTAGCTATAAGATTGCGTAGTCTAATCTCATCAGGTAATACTCAAAAAGAAAACGTTGATGCGCTTCAAAGACTAATTCATAATTACAATATTAGATACAGAACAAAAGTTCGCTTGACAGATCAGTTTGATATAGTTAATGATGAAACTATAATAGAAACCATAGAACTTGATGACGATGATGAAGACACAAAAAGTAAAAGGCGTCGTGTTGATGACAACGATAGCTTACGTGAACTACATTTGGACAAAATACGCCAAATTTCGTTTAGACTAAAACAATTAGAAATGGCCAAAAAAGCGTCACCAAGACACAGAAGAGCTCTGTCTGGTCTCATCAAAACTTACAATAAATCATACAATGCTGATATTTATCTTGAAAATAATGAAGTTTTAGATCGTCAAAGTATTACGCTGGATTCTAGTTCTGAGCACGATTGTGTTATTGAGGAAAGTCCACAAATTAAAATTGGCAAAAAATTAAGGAACCCTTTCAATATTCTAAAAAGGCTTTCCGAAAAACAAGTCTCAAATATATTTCCTACAACGAGTAAGGATTCAAATGAACATAGAGTGCAAACATCGAAAAATACAGTTTTAGATGTTGCACTTCACAAAAGTTGGATTCCTGATCAAGAAGATTTTGGTAGACCTGAAGTACTGTCTCGTGATAATATGAATATTCGTATCATAGAATCAAAGAAGGAAGAATATCTTTACGAGTTTTTAAATGACAATCGTACCAAGTTCAATAATTGGATAGAAACTAAAATTGCATTTCTAGAAAGTATTGAAGAATCCAATGTGATTTTTCAGACTGAAGTGATGAAAGAAGACAATGTAGATATAAAATCTATTATTCAAGCGGAAGATTGTACTGATATGCCTTCAGTTCTTAGAAAGTTAAATATTATTAAGAAAAATGATACCACTTGCAGTGAATCCAATTTGACTATAGATTTTGATGTATATAATAGAAATATTCAAGATTTTCGTAAAACAGAGAAGCCTACACCACATTTCAGAATTGTTTGTTTAAAGTAAGTGTCGTCAAAATTGTCTATTTTAAGAGATAGTGGATTTCCCCCTATTTTAAAAGGAAGGCAAACAAGCGTATGGCCCGCATGATGGTAAGCGGCCAATATAGACGCTGGCAATACCAAAGTACTACCCTGTGGAGCTCTGGAAACTTACCTACAAAAATACAACACCCTAACCAGTATGATATTTTACTGTGATCTTTTTTTTATGTTATAGTGGGCATACGAACAGACGGCTCACCTGATGGTAAGTGATCACCGTTGCCCATGGACACTTGCAACACCAGGAGTATCACAAATGCGATGCCGGCCTTTAAGGAAGGAAGGAGTACGCTCTTTTTTTGAAGGTTTTTGGGTCGTATTGGTCCGGAAACACTACTGGCGACAACATATTCCACAGTTTTGTTGTACGTGGTAAAAAATTTCGACAAAAACGCACGGTTGTGGATAGCCACGCATCAAGATGAAGGGGATGAAATTTTTGTCGCGATGTACGATGGCGAAATGATATTCTGCAAGGTGGAAGTTACTTCCCCTATGCCTTCCCTCTCTTTACCTGCCGTTTGAGGAAGCAACCTACCTACCTAGCAACCAACAGATGACAGTAAATTACTTGGGTTTTGTTTATGTCGGTGGGAAAAGTTTCAAGGCTCCTAAGTAGGGAATTGGGTAAAGGCCGGCAAGGTGAGTATGACTGAAGTAACATATTTGTTTGTGCGACTAATCAACAACTGTATTCAAAACCGTTGACAAGACCACTTAGCAATGGACAAAAGTACGTTGTAGTTTTTTAGTAATAAGTAGTTTTTTTAATGGGTGTCTTTTAATCCTTTGTAATCGAAAAATTATATTTTCAGTGACACCTCGCCTTTACCTTCGGGCATCGACATAGCAACACTTCATTCGAAATTCAAAGATGGCGTCATGATAGTATTCGCAGTCGTTGGTCCATCGTCCATATCATTTTTACAAATGAATCCAATTGATTCGCTTGTCTACACTGCATCCAACAATTAACCATCCTTGCCAAGTCTATTTATTATAAGGTAAAATAAAACTTGTTACATTTTTCAAATATGAAATTTTTATTTGTGTATATTTTAAACAAACGGCTTGAAGCTAACATTAACTAAGCAACGTGGCACGTGTGATACGGATGGTTCAGTGCATTTTGTCTATCTACTTAATTCCTATGATTATTCAAATAGGACTTACAGTTAATTGAGCTACATTATACTTCTTACTAAATGCATTTAAATATGTATTAAATGTTCAAATAGTAAATCCTCCCTTTGCTATTGTGATTTAAAATTAAAATTCTTATCTTCCTTTTTAAATACACGATTTTTAATCTACGTTGTATTTCGTAAACTTTACACAACCTTTTTATAAGTGCACTCTTACAATTATGAAATAGTCTTGTTCTTCATTTCTTGAATGTTTACATTGAAAGTAATACATAAATTAGTGCCACAATGAGAAAATATATCAAATGTTTAATAATTAATAGTAGGAAAAATTAGACAAATAGAAAATTTGTTCCAGTTTCTTCCGCAACATGGCGTATTTTCAGTTCAGGCTGAATACCTTAGGCTTAAACGATGTTAGGAATGTTGAACCTTACTTATCTAAAATGACTAAATTTACGCAGCTAATGTTACAGTATTAAAGTAAATAACAATTAATTTACTTCATAATCGTATAAATTATGAAGAAAATATCTTGAAAATGATATAAAATGGAACACATCTAAGGAATATTTGATTTACAATAGGAACTAGGAAGCAGCTACACGCAAATTAATAACTGCCTACATACTTAGATTAAAATACGTTTTATTTATCACTGAGCAAATTAGGTTCGCACTTACTTCTACTTATGATGGCTGCTTCATTCGTATATTTGACAGCAGTTTATCCTTATCATGTTCTATAGTGAATTATAAGGACGGACTGCTATCAAATTTACGTACGTCAAACAGCTATTTGAATTGCCGACATAACCAAATTGTACTATGGATATTATATGAAATATGTAGCATCTAAATTTGAACTTCGTATCTTAAACGGTTATACATGCCTTGAGGCTGCACCCGCACTTCTAAAGCAACTGCGACGCAGCGGCAATTTCATGAAAACAGACATATATAAACGCATGTCGGGGCCGCACTGCAGACGTTTCTGCCTTAAGAGCCCTTATTTTTACAAAAAAAAACTTAATTTTTGAGCGCCTTCTTAGCAAAGATTTTGACTATTTCCAATAGAAGTACACAGTAGATTTATTCTTCCTATTGGGAGTTGATGTAGAATATTTGCAAATACTATTTTCCTTTTTTTGTACTGATCGTTCTACTGCAGCTAGTTTACGGAAAAAACAATAATATGCACAACTTCAAACGTCTCAATCTCTCAATAATATTCAATAAATTAGATCAATTTTATACTACGACATCAGAAATATGTTTTTATTGTAACATAATGTATTAGAATTTTGATTTTCCATCTCATTAATTATTAAAAAAAACATCTAACCTCCATGAGTTTTCTCAAAAAATAATGCAGGTTTACCACGTATTTTGATATTGAATTAAATAGAATTACTTTCAAAAACTTACATAAAACTAATCTACCATCATTGAACTACTGAAATATGTATATATTTTTATAATTAGTTCATTAATAATTATTTTATAAGACTCGAAACATCACCCGTTTACCCATGCGCACCAGCAATAGTTTTTTTAAAATACCTGTTTTTCAAATTCGCTTGCAATATATTAAGCGAGTGTTCAAACACGAGCGACCAATAAGGGCGGAGTGGAAATGGTAGTTTGGTAAACCAGATATTATACAGACAAAGTTGTGGGCGCCTACAAGATTAATATAGATAGCAATAATACAGTTCAGTTAATATTACAGTAGACCCGCGATAATCCGAACCCCATCTAATCCGGCGCCCCCTGTAATACGACACGCTTATAACTATTGATTTGCACATAAAATCAATTGAAATAGATTTTTAGATTTCTAATTTAGCGGATTACAAGGTACTCTTATTCCAAAAATTCCTGACTATAGAGACTATAGAGTGGGCTTAGGCAGTACTCTGTAATCCGACATCACCCTGCAAAACGTTTTCCGGATTACCACGGGTCTACTGTATCATCATTATCATTAACCTATTAATGCCCCCACTGGTGGGGCATAGGCCTTCTCTATGGATGGAATAGGGAGATTAGGCCATGGTGACAACAACTGCAGATGCAGCCACGACTAAGCAGCTTAACGTGCCTTTCGAAGCACAGAGGAGCTAGAGATAGTAAATTTTTGGTCACCCATCCAATGACCAACCACCGAACGCGTTAACCACATGCGCTATCGAATTCCTCCTACTCTAGTTAATATCATATATATTAAAAATAGTCGTCATATTTTACAATTATGTTTGTTTTATATTGATGAGTTTAGCGTATTACAGGAATTATATCGATTAGAAGTAACAAGTAACTTAGTAAGTACAAATGTTAAAACTTAAAAAAACATCACAGCAGTCCAAAAAATAAGGCAATAAGTAGATACTGATGTCGATTCTAGCGTTCTCTAAACTTAAAACTTAATTTAACATCAGTCTCTCCTTTTCATTCTGTATAGAGAATGACAAGTATACACTGTTTTCAAATTTAAGTTTAGATTTAGAGAATCGTGCCAGAATCGACACCACTCTGTATAATAACACTTCAAGTATTGATGACTGGACAATTTACAGCGATGACTTAGGTATCTAAGCAAAATTTCATATCACGCATTAGCACTCGATGGCAAGAATTTACTCAATTCCATACTTATACTCTGACAACGACGTAAAAGGCATTGATATAGTGATATCAAAACAGTACCGGCCAAGTAGCAAATAGCGCCAAAAAGCAGAATTTAAAAAACATATTTTCAACTGGAAATTTCTCAAACAAAATGTGAAATGAAAGCTTGACCAAAGGACTATGAGAGAGATAGATAATTTCACTCTACTCGGGTTCAAGGGATTGTTTTGAAATTATAACAGTAAATTTTCAGTATTTTATGCGACTATTAGGAAATTAAAACTATTCTTGTTATAAAGGTAAACTCTGGATCTAGTAGTTTTTTATCAGTGATGACGTGTTCGTTCTAATTGAATCTAAAATTCGCGATTTTTTTCTTTACAATCCTGCAATCAAAACTGTATAAAATTACGTCCTATTTGACGGTCGAGTGAAGCGATTTGGTTTAAAATTACCAATTTTGTGCGAACTAGTGATGAACGCGTATTAGCGTTTTTTTAAGATGAGCAAGCAGTTCTATTGGCTACCTTTCGTATTTGCTATTAGTAAACTTGATAACAATCTGTCCATATCATGCTTTTTAAATAACGAAAAGGACTGGCTGATGTCAATGTTACAAATAGTCATGGAGGTTAGAGAGAAGGAGAACTATCGCTACGTGCTAAAGCATTAGCCCGCCGGTCCCTGAAAATTTTGTAGAATTTAGAGTTCATTTTACAGCCACCAGTCGGTAAGTAGTATCTGTGAAGTTAGCTGTTTATGAGTAACAAGTAGATGAAGTTAGTTGAATAATCTACAAAATTTCTTCGCGGCATTGGTCATTTCAAATTAGCGCACAACAGCCCGCTTTTGTTGGACAACTTATCGATCGCAGCGCCTCACTTATTTTGTCCATATTTCTGGGACATTATTTTCTACAGCGATCGTTCTCCTTCTTTCTAACGTCCAAAAACATAATAAACACGAACAGCCTAGAGAAGTGCAGACATGACAGTATTAATAGATTCGATATCAAATCTACTCGTGGAGCAGAAAGCTTGCTTATTTATGTACGCGACATAAATAAGCAACTGTCAATACATGTAGTAATAAAGTAAACGCACTCGCGGCGCGATAACAAATGAACAATCCGACTCAATTATTCGTCATACAAAAATCACAGCACTTCAAGGCCATCCGAAGTTAATCCCGGAGAGTTGGTAAAATCTTTCATTGAACGGTCTGTAGAAGTCTCTCAGCCGCTCTATTGCCACCGGATCAATGTGAGGATGACTCCTGCCTTTAGTCTTGCCCAAGCAATGAGGTGTTGATTTGCTGTCGGGTTTGAGCAAACAGGGAAATCCCTTAGTTGAGTTGAAGTAGAAATGTTTCTCTGTTATTACACGTTTCAGCCCCAAGAAGTCCTGGAAGAAAGGCCATTATTTACATGTACATTTTTTGTCGATTTCACGATACCAATTTGTATATTCATCTATCAAGTCTAGTGTTTTCTTGAACTTTATTGTAATAATAAAGAAAGTTACTGAATCAATTTTAGTCAACATTAAAAAAAGGTTTATTATGTTTCTGCTCGGCTTCATTCATCCACCAACGTCATTCAGTTGATAGCAAAATTTGTTTTGTTGCATCAATGCAATTCAGCCTGGTGTTATATTACCTACTCAATACTTACACTCCATTTCAACCTCCACCTCACCCATTCGATAAGAAAATTGGTCATTTTTCTCTATAGGAATCTGTACCTGCACCCTAACCATTTCTTTGGCTGGCAGGCTTACCAGCCTTTACCCGCTGATGAGCAGCAGGCGGCCCCTGGGGAAGCGATGGCGAAGCGAAGCGATGCAGCCAGCATGCTAAAACGCTCACTCCTCCAGCCCGCTGTTATATTACCTGGACTTTGACCAATATCTAGTTATCTACACTCCATTTTATCCACCAACCATACCCAGCCACGCTAAAATGAGCGATCTCTTTCCGCTGATGAAAAGTAAAATTAAGTAAGAACCTGCACCCTGGCCATTTCCGTGACCGGCTCACTTACCAGCCTTCACTCACACTGCTTCCTGCTAATGGTAAGAAAATTTGAATGTAAGGAATACCTGCACCCTGGCCATTTCATTGGCTGGCTTGCTGACCAGCCTCTCCCCGTTGATGAGCAGCAGGCGGCCCCTGGGGAAGCGGCGCAGCCAGCCCGCATCAATTCACACCGCTTCCTGCTAGTGGTAAGAAAATTTGAATGTAAGGAATACCTACCTGCACCCTGGCCATTTCCTTGGCCGGCTCGCTGACCAGCCTCTCCCCGTTGATGAGCAGCAGGCGGCCCCTGGGAAAGCGGCGCAGCCAGCGTCGCAGCGGGCGCGCGTACACGCCCAGCCGCACGGGGCCCCAAGACGCGTCCACTACGGACCATCGAACCCCGCCCCAACCCACAGTACTGTTCACTAATGCCAAGTCCTCGAAACGGGGTAATGATGGCCTCTTGCTATACGAAAAACAGTCATAATCGTCAGACTATCAATATTTCCACTGATTACATAAGGCCTTCCATATAGATGGATTAGGTAGAACGAGAAAAGAATAACTACACGGGCCAAGGCGCGACCACTACGGACCAACGCACTCCGCCCCAACACATAGTACTGTTCACTAAGGCCAAGTCCTCGAAACGGGGCAATGATGGCCTTTTGCTATACGAAAAACAGTGATAATCGTCAGACTTAATATTTACACTGATTACATAAGGCCTTCCATATAGATGGATTAGGTAGAACGGGAAAAGAATAACTACACGGGCCCAGCCGCACGGGGCCCCAAGGCGCGACCACTACGGACCAACGCACCCCGCCCCAGCCCACAGTACTGTTTACTAAGGCCAAGTCCTCGAAACGGGGTAATGATGGCCTCTTGCTCAACGCAAAACAGTCATAATCGTCAGTCTATTAATATTTCTTCTGGTTACCTACATAAGGCCTTCCCTATAGATGTATTAGATAGAACGGGAAAAGAATAACTACGGGGGCCCTAAGGCGCGACCACTACGGACCAACGCACCCCGCCCCAACCGACAGTACTGTTCACTAAGGCCAAGTTCTCGAAACGGGTAATGATGGTCTCTTGCTATGCTGAAAACAGCCATAATCGTCAGACTATTAATATTTCCTCTGATTACATAAGGTCTTTCCTATAAATGGATTAGTTAGAACGGGAAAAGAAAAACTACACGGGGCCTCAAGGCGCGACCAATACGGACCAACGCACGCCGCCGCGCCGCCGCCCCAATCCTCTGTACTGTTCACTACGGCCAAATCCTCGAAAAGAGGGAATGAAGGCCTCTTGTAATAAGGGAATCGGTCATCGTCAGACAATCTTCCCACTGCTGGAACACAGTGGGAATATTTCCCTATGGACAAGTGGTTCTTAATCGATGGTTTCCCTGGAGGCAACGGAGTGATTCGCGAAGCCATTTGAAAAAAAAATACATAAGGAAGAACGCTGATTTGACAAATGGTCCCTCGTCACCAAAAGGTTAAGAATCACTGCTATAGACGGATTAAGCAATAACCCGCCGTACCGACCCAATTGTTTAAAATGCTTTGCGAAGTTCAGAGGAGTTAGAGTTAATATTTTATTGGTCAACTATCCAATGATCTTTATGATTTATAAGAATAGATTTATTATTACTACTGACGGCCAGTAACAATATCCCTGTTAATCTGTATTGTTTGAATTGGAATTAGAATTATTTATAATAAGCGTTATGACGGATTTTCACAGCTAACAATCACGAAGATTAGACTGAATGATAAAAGTAAATCCTACCTACCTCGCGGACTGGGTATAGTCGCTAATGGCTCTTGTGACTGGATCCCTCACAACTGCTAGCAGCTTAACGGATGGATTCATGGCGTACACTCTCTTCGGTGCTGACCTAGTCACCCAGTACGAAGGCGTCTTCTCCATCGTGATCTGACCCTCGGTGGTTGATGGCATTTTATCCCTAAACGATAAACAAAAGCATACATCTATTAACGGCTGGTTACATTGGAGGAGAGGGTACAACGAATTTCCGTTCTAATTGGAGCGTCGTCGTCGTAGAATAAGTAGGTATTCAACAGTGTTATTTTTCGCAGTACGTAAATAGATAAATAAAGTCTTGCTGAATAATGATAGACTTAGCTTAGGTACTACTATCTGCTCTCGAATGATATAGATTTAGGTATAGTATGATGATTGGGTATGGCTTTGGGACTGAGAAAAAGAATAAGTCTAGGCTATAACAGCGAGAAGTGCCTTTGCCCTTGCCTTGGTATCAGTGCCTTGACTTAAATGGATTTGATTTGACGATTTTGTTAAAAACATGTTTAAAATAAAAGTCCTCTGAAGCGTGAGAATAAATTTAACATAAGAACCCCTTTCTATTATTTTAATTTATTCTTAAACCACTAGTAAGTAGCAGTGTACCGGAAGGTTCGTTTACGTACCGATACCATTCGAAACCTTTATGGTAAAACTTGTCAAAAAAATGAACTTCAGATCCCGCGGCACGCACATCAGGATGTATTCTGAAAAAGAACAGTAAATTAATAAGTGTTGATGTGTCCATACTTTAGATATTAATAATATGAAGATTCCCTTGGAGCTGTAAAAAAATCAAACTTCTAAGGCAAAGCAATCAAAATATACAGCAGTTTATGCCGCAAAATTTCGAAACACGCACGGGAATAAAAACCTACGGGAAGTACTTCCCGTGAACTTAGAATCTTGAAATTTGGTACGAGGCAACGTCTTATAGTACAGATAAAGGAAAAATTGCCAAAACCGTAAATTTTTTGTTACATCATATTATAAAAAATATTTTTGAAAATTCAGGTTTGTACGGAACCCTCGGTCCACGAGTCCGACTCGCACTTAGCCGCTTTTTTGAGTGTGTATGGTGTTGATTGCAGATGACCTTTACAGCGTCCGTCACTGGGTTTGGGGACGGCGAGATCTTACAGGGAACTTAAGCCGAGAATTGGCAAGTGCCTTAGTCTAGAGGTATTCCAGGCGTATGACATCTCCCCTCGGGGGTAGTCTCCTCTCCCTCTGGAGCCTTTAGACCACACGATCTGAGTTAGCAGTTGTCGTGGGGGGTGGGTACTATGAACAATTGAGACTGTTATAGACTCCTATTTGCAGAAAAAAATTAAACATGATGGGAGTGAATGGAAAGCGATGAAATTCTAGTCTAGGTATAGTCGCAAAATCAGTAGTAATTTTAACAGAACACTTTTTAGGTGGGTAGAGAAAACCCTACATTCGGTCTTGGTCCTTCGATCCGGATAATAAAATACTTATAATGGGACTTTGGATGGATTATTAACGTACCTACCTTAAGAATTCCAAAAGAGCTCGAGTACCGCATTTTTTAACACCGATTATAAGTGCATCAGGTAATTTCTTGACGGACTCTCCATTCGGATAAGTAATTCGGCTGTGCAAATCTATACCCAAAAACGATGCTAAACGTACAGTTGCACTTTTATATTTCGATATGTGACGCTTTATAAGTAAGTACTTCCCCTTTAACTGAAAAGAAGTTTAACTTAATGAATAAGCAAAATATGTATTATTATTTTTATTAATATTACGAAATACTATTTTTTTTATTCAACTGTGAAAATAATGACATATCACTTACCTGGCTTTCGTCAACTAAACAAGTATTCAGAACATAAATTATGTAAAGTAGAAATATTAGTATAACATAAATAAATATTATTCGTTTCGAGAGCACCGGAATCCATTTCATTGCCGTTTCTCGCGACCATTTGTGTATTTCAGTACCTATGTTTATATAACCTCTTGCATTAAGAATGAAATGAAATTAATTATTAAAAACATATTTCGTTTTGCCAGCATTCTGTTGTTATTGTACATTAAACTACTTAAAAATTATCTCTTAACGGTTTTTTTTCATTTATAAAGGCACTTTTTAAAAAAATATGCGATGTTGTGTTAAATTGAAAACTAACAAATAGGTATTTCAATGACCGTGCAGTGTTACGGGCACAGCCGATGCGCGCGCAATCGCGCCGCTCCGTTCGTCGCAATGCGTGCTGTGCAGTCGGTAGGCAAATGAACATTTTGAACCAGCCAAACCAAATATGTAGTATTAAAAGATAAATGTAGAGAAGGCTAAAAAAACATTTCAAAAGCATACCGCGCTAACACCTTTTCTTGACTTGAGACCGGAAAGAAGCAATTTTCTATTTTTTTCATAGACTAACCACCGACGGATATATAAGACCGTGGACGTACTTAAATTATCTAAATCGGTACTGTTTAATCAAAGCGCATTCAAACAGACATTTAAATGCGTGTGCGTGAGACAGTAGATACTTTATTCTGATCTTTTTTTTAAAGTTTGGTGGTAGTGTTTGGTGAACTTTGAGTTACATTTATGAAATTGGGTAATTGAAAGGCGTTGAAGAGAAAAACAATTGACAGTTTTTAAAAAACATTGTTTTATAAAACTACGATGTAAGTAACTTTTAAAATCATAGTTATTTCTCGCCTCGTATTCCTATATTTTTTACTACTGAACCGTCGTTGAATGATCGAGGTCTGAATTTTTCAACAATAATAAAAAATGACATGCGACATTCTAAAGATGAGAGAAAAAGTTTGATGAGGTGATGTAATAAAAGTTTTACTGTATATTTAAACTTTAAAAATTGATTATGTTTTTATTTATTTTTTAAGCATTTAACTGTTAGATGTTTCCTAGCCTTAAGCTGCAAGGCAGCGCCATCTCTTCGCATTGTAGGTAACCCACAATGTCAAATGAATACTTTTTCAAGTATTAAACATTTGAAAGAAGAAATAGCAATTATAGTTATGTTTTTATTTATTTTTTAAGCATTTAACTGCTAGATGTTTGTTTGGTCCGCGTGGATTTTTTTCTAGTAAAATTTCGACGCGGCTAATAGGGCCGTGGTAGCATAATGTACAGTGCATTCGCCAGGATTGCGAAGGGTGCGGGTTCGAGTCCCGTCCGCTGCCTGGTCCACGTGGATTTTTTTCTGTAGTAAACTTTTCTTTAGATTTAAAAATTGAGCTTTAAATAAAGATTTAGAATTTATAAAACGCTATTGTCCAACCTTCGAAATGGCGAAAATAAAGGACTATTACTGTGTCTTTCTAATAAACTATCGGGCTTATTGGTAAAAGAAGATCGGACTGAATGCATTGTTAGTTCTAGATACATTAATATTCTAAGGGACTCACTGTAAATTATTATTCATAAGAAACAACATGTGTGTCTTTTGTACGCTAATGTTCATTTTACTTTGTCTGATGCAAAGAGGGCCAACCTGGGCTCAGTGAGATAGTCACAATCACAAGTCAACAGAGGTATTTCGTCTCCTGTCGTTCTTTGAATATAGGTGCCTATCATATTTAAAACAAATGCCCGATTTATTTTAATTGGATCAATGAGGGCTACCGTTTTCTGCCTCACCAGATGGCGCCACTGTTGAGTGAGGTCCTAAATTGTAACTTTTAAAGTTTATTAATACGCACATGAAATCAAAGGTTACATTTAGATATATTGTTCTTTTGTATTTAAACACAAAAGAACAATATCCTAAACATAATAGGCCATGCCACAGTGACGCGCAGTTCCGTTTTATTAGGTAAAAATGGGAACAATCATTTTTCTAAGCTCAAATTTTTAATAACTGACATTCATTGCCACATAACTCATATTTGCCATAATTAAGCCGAATTGTTACCAATTATTCACAACATAATTTTAATTAGAAATGAACCCGCGTTGTCAACCCACAAGCAATAACATTTGACATTTCGGAGACCTCACGCTACACTAGCGCCTCTAGCGGCGGATTCATACGCGATAGCCTTCATTGTACGTCGTCATCTTATTAGAAAGAGTTAAAAGATCTCCGTTTTCTATCTCTCATTCGTCTCGTTTTATAGGTAACAGTATCAAACCTGTCTAAATAGTATGTCCGTGTATCCAAACAAACGCATACTGCCAACCGTAAATATCAACCAAAAATGACAGCCGACCGACAGCTAAATAAAGAAATTTGATCGTATTGAACTTTGAAGCAGTGAAATAAATTAAAATGACAGTCCAGCAAGTTAGTTCGAATATTTCTGACGACTCGGATGATATGGTGAGTTTACCACCCGAAGAAGAGATTTACAGGCGTAAATATCAATTGTTATTGGAGCGATGTGAAGTGTTGCAACAGGATAACGAGCGAATTGTAAATAGGTTTGTGTTATTTTTGTTGTAGAACTACATTTAGTATAGTGCTGTGACTGATTTGTTCTTCTTTGCTATTGTAGAATACATGAAGCGAAGAAAATTACAAAGCGCTATCGCAAAGATATCAAATTATTAGTAGAGAGGTTGGATAGGCATGGAGATACATTTAGAACAGCCTCGATGGAAGTGGAAACGAAGCCGGAGTTAGTAACAAAACCCAGTAAGCCAGCAAACAAGACACAACCAACTACAAAACAAGTTGAGAAACCTATTCCAGTAGTGGGTAAGAAACCTGGGCCAAAAAGAAAAACAAAGGCAGACAAAGTAAGTGCAAGTTATATTTTTTATGTAGAACTCTGTATATTGTTATTGTGAGTGAAAATAATACATGGAATGCTACAGCCATAAGTGGCTGTAGCATTCCATGTATTTTTTTCACTACCGGCTAACTAGTAGAAGTGTATAACAATGGATTTAATTTTCATCAGTAATATTTGTTACATTCAGACCAATAATTGGTTATTTATCAGCCTAGCCCCAAAGTCAGCACTACAAAGCGTGTGTAATGGGATCAGTAGGTTCTTATTTCACTAAATATTGTAAAAAATCACCTGTGACTAATAAATATTGTAAAAAATATCCTGTTAATCATAAATCAATTAAACATATCATAAAAAAACTAGGGCTTTGCCCAGCATTGGACTGATGATGAGAATATAGCACAAAAACTACTGATTTTTATATTTATAGATTTTTGTACTAGATAAAATTCAACCCGGTCAAGCCAGCCTGATAACTTGATTACACCTGTTGCTTATGTTACTGGATCACATTTTAAACATGTTGCAATTATTATTGGAAATTAATATATTTTGTGGTATCATGATTTAATAGTCCTGCCCTAAACTGGTGTATATTTATTCAACAATTATCCTTGTCATTATAAAATTGAACTTATTTTACAGCCTGAACGTGACCCTAATGCCCCTAAAAAACCATGCAATGCATTCTTTCAATTTTGTCAAGAACAGAGGCCACTTGTTGTAGCAGAGACAAATTCTGAAATGGGCTCAGAACCAACGAAACAAGAAGTAACAAGACAATTAGCATCAAGGTGGAGAGCTCTCTCTAATGATGAAAAGAGGGTAATTCTATTTTATATATTTTTTTAAACTGTTGTGTAGTTTATGGATAACAGGATTACTTCAAATTTTTAAACTACTCAAAAACATTAGGAAATCAGCTGTATATTTAAACATATAGCTTAAATTGCACTGCTGTACCCTTCTGGCTTCCCTACCTTATAAACTGCTACAGCCAAATAACAATTGGTATTGTGTAACACAGGTATGGGGCCATTCCTTTATTACATAAAACTATTTTTGCTAGTTTTTGACTGGGAGGGAGTCAAAAACTAGCAAAAATAGTTTTTGCTAGTTTTTGACTCCTCCTTATTAAAAAAAAAATAATAGGCCTTCTCCCTCCCCCGCTGCTCAATATTTATTACATAAGAATCTGAGGAAAATATGAATAAACATTTTTTGACGTGACAACGTCTTAAATTAGGTTGCGGCTGGGAGTCACTTATGAAAAAGTGTAACGCTCGGTAACGTTACGATGAGTCTCTCGTGTTAAGTTTAAGTTTACATGTACAATGTTTTAGTAAACAAAATATATTTCTATAGTTAAAATTTGTGCAATTCTTATTTTCATTCAATTCCTTGTTCCTATTGTGCAATTTAATTATATTCATATCAATAAATATTCTACCGAGAAAAAGACGTTGTCACGTAAAATCTTCGCCCGTAAAACCGACTTTACAGGCAACCATTTTTTTAGTATTAATGTTTATTTTACAGTATTTTTTTCTTCATAAGGGGCAGTACTGTGAGGCATGTCTGTTGCCATGGAAATCGTATACCTATACGCATCCGAGCGAACCTCGTTTGTCGGAAAACACGCGCGGTTGCCCGCGCTTTTTCAAAGTATATTTTAAATTTTGCACATTTTTGTGACCTTACCTAAGAACTATCGAGACTCCTTCTCACACCCTTGTAAGAAAAAATAAGACATTGTGGACCCACTTCCATCCTAAATTATCTTACGTAATAAATGAATGGCCCCTAAATCCAAGAGTAGATAGGGCATGAAAGGTAATGCACAAGTTATAGTCTGATTTTTGTAAGTAATGCATCTTTGGCCAGTTAGTTTTAACGGGCTAATGCACAAACTTAATTTATTTATTGACATTTCGCAGCCTTTTCAGCATCGTCAGAAGAATGATTTTTTATTAAATAAAAAATCATTATGAGTGATGTGCGTGAAAACCTAAGAAACAAATACATATGCTTATTTGTCATCCTTTATAAAAGTTCACCAGCCTTCCTAGCATGAGCACTGCTATATAATATATAACGCGTTTTTATCACACTCAATTGTCAAATTACTATGGAATTTAAATCTAAAATCTGAACATTGGGTTACCTACAATGCGAAGAAATGATGTTACCTTGCAGCCCTATGTAATGCTACAAAAAATTCGACATGGACAAATAGGGCCATGGTAGAATAATGGTCAGTGCATCCAACCAGATAGCAGGTGTGGATTTGAGTCCCGTCTGCTGCCTGGTCCGCATAGAATTTTTTCTAGTAAAATTTTCTTTTCACATTTAAACATCTAGAACCCATGCCATTGCTTCTTTCAAATGTTTACAATGCAAAGAGATGACACTGGCTTGCAGCTTAAGAAATGCTAGAGAAAATTCGACTCTGACAATAAGACCGCAGTAGCATAATTGTCAGTGCATTGACTGGATAGCGGAGGGTGCAGATTCCAGTCCAATCTGCTGCCTGGCCCGCATCCTTTTTTTTTTGTTTTTGTAAAATTTTCTTTTGTCATAACATCTAACAGTTGAATGCTTCTAAAATAAAATTAGTACTACTATAGAGATTGACAGTAAAACGTGATATAATGTAAATTGTGGTGCTCATGCTATGGAGACAAGGTACTAGTTGGAACTCCAATCATAAATTGTACTTTCCAGTAACAGTTGTTCCATTTTATTACAGGTATATGTTGCTATGTTTGAAAGATCAAAGGAAAAATATGCAGAAGAATTAACAGCATACAATATCAAGAAGGAACAATGACAAAAAATATCTTATCATATAAGCTCTTTTAAATGTGATAGTCAGCTTTAAGATTAATTTTATTTATAAAATAATACTAATATAATAACAGTCTTATAGTCCATCTGAAAACTCACTGTAAAATGGTTGTTACCCAAATGTTCATTATATATTACCAGACATATAGATAAATTCATTACCAGACCTATTATACCTTTGATGCTTTACCGAATTGTACTTACGGAGTCCTTTTAAATTTATTCATTAGACACAGACTGACATTTATAATGTATAAAGTATACAGAAAAATAAATGGACATTTCAAAACCCAACCAATTTTATTTGTAACAAAAATAAAATAATATTATTAAATTGTGCCTTGTTTAGAATTAAATGCAAAACCTCTTCATTTTCGAGTAGTAGTTATCCCTTAAAGTTGTCCTTGTGGGATCGGATTGTCTTCATAGTTTGTATAGCATCTGAACAATTAGCAAACTTCATTATAGTAGGTTGTGTCACCCTCATAAATGGATTATATAATTTTTCTTCTGCTATTGTAGAAGGAACCTAAAAATAAAAGTATTGCTGTCAATCAAAAAGATAATGGACTCAGATAATACATGTTTCTGTATAAAGAAATCTTAAGAAATACCAAAATAAAAGAAAAGCAAATAAATGTTTTTTAACATGTACATACAGTAGGTTTCCCCTCCTGTCTCCTCTCGGTAGACCATTCAATCTTTTTCCTAATTTCTTCATTAGAGGGCTCAACATGTAGTGCAAATTTCAAATTTTGCAATGTGTATTCATGCCCACAGAATACTTTTGTCTGGTCTGGTAATGTCCCCAAAATAGTTATCAATGCTTTATACATTTGATCAGCTGTACCTTCAAAAAATCTCCCACAGCCTCCAAGAAATAAGGTGTCCCCTGAAAATAATTTATAAAAACAATATTAATTTGTTTGAGTAGAAGTCAAATATTTTTCCTTTAGTGTGACAATTTATGTATATTGTAAATATAATCTGAATGAATTTATTTGACACAAACATTATCCATACTTAACATTATAAATGTGCAAGGATGTCTGTTACCTGTTTACACTCAAATGGCTGAACCAATTAAGATGAAATTTGGTATAAAAAATATGAGACGCAGGATAGAACATACAATAGTTTGTCCCAGAAACCATAGTTTAGTGGGGTGATAAGGGAGGTGGAATTTTGTACGGGAAACCAATATAACAATGCAGACAAAGTAGGATGCACCCACTTGTTCTAAATTACCATTACTTCCTATTAAGCATTTAGAATTACCTGTAAACACAACAGATTCATTGTCTTCCTTGGGAGAAGTGACAAAGTAGCAAATATGTCCAGACGTATGGCACGGAGTAAACAAACACTGAACATTCAGATTGCCAATGTTGAATTGAGTGTTGTGCTCCACCTTTTTGGTGAGAGCTCCAATGCGGTCATCTCCACCATACACAGTGAGGTCAGGATGAAGCTTCATTAGTTCTTCATTACCACCAGCATGATCCCTAATTGAACAGAAACAAAATTGTGGTTTAACCTAACAAAAACTTCATATTCTCATTTACTAACAAAAATATCCAAATAATTATTTAATAGAAATTAATACCAATGGTGATGTGTAGTCAGTACTGAAGTTAGATTTACGCCTTGTTCTTCAACAGCTTTCATTACACTTTTAGGATCTACTGGATCAACAATGGCTGCTTGCTTGGTTGCTTTATCTACAATCAAATACATGTAGTTGTCTTGCAAAGCTGGCAGTATCTTTACATCCATATTTCGGTATTGATGATGTTCTATTTGACTGTGAGCTTCTCGTTGATTGCGAATCAAAGCTACAAATAAAAAAACACTATTAGTGTTATCAAAATTGAAAAACTGTACTTGGGCCCAAGAGGTGTTACTTGATTTGTTTTTGTAGAAAAGGTATCTTAAGTTTTATTCTGGCACTTCGCCGGCCGTTATGGTCACAACACTAACCTAGTGTGAAGTATCACTGCTTGGGCCTTGGAAGTACATTATAGCCTCATAATTAAGTGAACGGATAAAACTTACTTATTTACAAAAACCTATAAAAACTGAAACGGAAAACCTACCTTGAAAATACAGCTTTGTAATTTGTTGCGAGAGCCCAAACGGCAAGGAATTAACGAACCTAGCAAGCATTGAACAAAATAAACAGAATATTTAAAGAAATGTGTATAAATTTGTCCTTTGAACTATGCTTTTAAAATACTTGGGAAACCTAGCTTAACATTATCATTTTGATTGACCACAGATAGACGGTACCTTATATTTAAATATTATATATAGAACTTCATTTCGACACCAATGGTGTCAATTCTGGCGTGCATCTCTAAACTTAAAACTAAATTAAAGGTCAGTCTCACCTTTTCATTCTGTATAGAGAAGGACAAGGATGCACTGTTGTCAAATTTAAGTTTAGGTTTAGAGAATCATGCCAGAATCGACATCAATGTCAAGTTAAAAAAAAATAGGACTTCGTTCCAAATCTTGGCTCCAAGTGCAACTTTTTACCCTGAGACGTAGCTTATGTCAAAATTGACATTTGTTGCATCTGAGAGTCTGGGAGTAAGGGTGCGGCCAGAGTGCACTCAGATTCAGAGTCAGATTCAGATTCTGAAAACAAGCGCGAGAAATAAACAGTGTAGTCGAAGGTTACGGCCAGATTGCACTCCTGATTCAGATTTAGATTCAGACTCAGAAAACAAAGCGCGAGAAAAAGCAAGCAACCTGCTTAGACTACACTGTTTATTTCTCGCGCTTGTTTTCGAAATCTGAATCTGAGTGCACTCTGGCCGCACCCTAAGTTTTGAACGCAGATCCGAGTTGCGCTACAATAAGGGTACGGCCACAGTGCACGCTGGTTCAGATTCAGACTCGAAAACAAGCGCGAGAAATAAATAGTGTAGTTAAAGCAGGGTGGCCATAGTGGCAGCAGGTAACTGGTTGCCCGCGCAGGTTTCGGAGTCAGTGGGTGCGGCCAGAGTGCACTCAGATTCAGATTCTGAAAACAAGCGCGAGAAATAAACAGTGTAGTCTAAGCAGGTTGCCTGCTTTTTCTCGCGCTTTGTTTTCTGAGTCTGAATCTGAATCAGGAGTGCACTCTGGCCGTACCCTTCGACTACACTGTTTATTTCTCGCGCTTGTTTTCGGAATCTGAATCTGAATCTGAGTGCACTCTGGCCGCACCCAGACACTTTACCGGAATGTTTAGGTCATTCAGATTCTGAATTCACCAGCGCCGCTCGGACTGCAGTTAGGGTTGCCAACCCTCCTATAAAATATAGTATCCTACTATATTAGGGGATCAAATACTGGTGCGTTGAAATTTTAAGTTCCTAAGAGCAAACATATATAAAGTCTTTAATTAAACAAAACTGCTTAATTATTAGTCATTATCTACGAGTATGTTTATAATTTTTAGTGATAATAATATTTACTTTAAAATTGTAAAGTTTAACCTAGATATGCAAATCTCATTATATGTGTATAATAAAAAAAAATATTTATCATTAAAATTAATTTCATTAACATAGTGTTTTTTTTTGTATTATTAATGCATTGTTATGCCTATATATAATATAAACCATATAAATTATTCAAATTACACTACCCTCGCGGATCCAGACCCAGCTTTCCGGTTAATCCGGACATATTGGTCCCATCAAATCCGGATTAGTGAGATTGTAATAAATTCTTATCTAATGGTTATAACAAGGCGTTCTTCTGGAAGAATCTTGTGTTTGTGCAAATTACAGCAATTCTTCATCATGTGAGGTTCAATTTTTTTTAAAATGTAGTAGAACGTTACCACTTCCATCCTAAATATTGGAAGAAACGTTTCCTATCGACTTTCAATTGGGGAAACAAATGGTAATATTCCCCATATTCACTCTTTAATCTATTAATTTCTTAAACACCGATTCTCTCACGTTTTAATTTATAATGACAACTATCAGTAGCCATTAACAAGCACGCTAGATCTTCATTAGAAAACTCCTCCATGTTTACAACTGCGAAAACACCCCCCAATTTAAGTTTCTGGATCAATAGCTTCGAACGCGTCGAATAAAAAAGAGAGACTGTTGATTGACTGTCGACTTGCGACTTTTTACAGATTAAAAGTTTATGAAGTGGTTTATTTTTTTATATAAAAATGTAATAAAGAAAACCTCCGGTTCTCGCAAAACTTAATTTCTTCAACCCATCGCTTTAAAAACCCCTCAAATTTGGGGTAAACTCCCCCTTCGAAGTTGTTGATCCAGAAACTTAAATTGGGGGGTGTTTTCGCAGTTGTAAACATGGAGGAGTTTTCTAATGAAGATCTAGCGTGCTTGTTAATGGCTACTTATAGTTGTCATTATAAATTAAAACGTGAGAGAATCGGTGTTTACGAAATTAATAGATTAAGGAGTGAATATGGGGAATACCACCATTCGTTTCCCCAATTAAAAGTCGATAGGAAAAGTTTCTTCCAATATTGTAGGATGGAAGTGTAAACGTTCTACTACATTTAAAAAAAAATGAACCTCGCATGATGAAGAATTAACATCAGTCTCTCCTTTTCATTCTGTATAGAGAATGGCAAGGATGCACTGTTGTCAAACTTAAGTTTATATTTAGAGAATCGTGCCAGAATCGACACCAGTATGTGGTTATAATATTTACTTTATTTTTGAAATAAATATATTTTTGTTGCTCTTTGCCTTACTTATATTATAATAACAATCCCTAATATTTTTTAAGAAAGCTTTTAATGTCAAAAAAATATAGTAGTTTCGCCTACTACATATTTTTTAGAAATATAGTATTTGATCCCCTATTAAAGTAAGATACTATATTTTATAGGAGGGTTGGCAACCCTACCTGCAGTCTGAGCGGCACTGGTGAATTCAGAATTTGAATGACCTAAATATTCAGGTAAAGTGTCTGACTCCGAAACCTGCGCGGGCAACCAGTTGCCTGCTGCCACTATGACCACCCTCAGATTCAGATTCAGACTCAGAAAACAAGCGCGAGAAATAAACAATGTAGTTAAAGCAGGGTGGCCACAGTGGCAGCAGGCAACCTGCTTAAACTACACTGTATATTTCTCGCGCTTGTCTTAGCAGGTTGCCTGCTGCCACTGTGGCCACCCTGCTTTAACTACATTGTTTATTTCTCGCGCTTGTTTTCTGAGTCTGAATCTGAATCTGAATCTGAGTGCACTCTGGCCTAGGCTTTAAGTGTCAAATTCAAGGTTGATACTTATAATGGTTGCTTTCCAATTACAGCATTATAGCGCATTATGCGGCATAATGCTTAACGTTGAGTGTTCCAACTACAGCAACGCCAAAAGTGATGCTTTCGTGCGATGCGTGCAATCGTACCAACTTAGAGACAGAAAATTAACAAGTGTTTTTTCTTTAAGTTGGCATTGATCGAAATGTTTTATTTATATGTTATCGTTAGTAATATTATTGGTTGTTGAAAAAATATTAAAGCTTTCGTTTCATTAAATAGTTTTTTTTAAATAATCAAAGTTCATTCAAACTGTTAAAAAATGAATATAAGTATGGATGAAGGTACAAACATTGATTTTTTTTTTTCAACACTGAACTTAGCGCACTCTGCTGGTGCATTTGAAAACTAATTCACGTTCCAATTAAGCATCAGCATAATTCAGCATTGTGCGGCACTGAGTCGCATTATGCTCTGTAATTGGAAAGCAACCAATATTATCGTAGTGCCTAAGTAGTGGTGTCGATTCTGGCATGATTCTCTAAACTTAAAACTAAAGGACCATGGGGGATTTTGTATGGACCCCGTCCCCACCCTGCAACAGACACAGAATGGCTCTGGATTTGTTCATTCGTACTCAGAAAGAGACAAAAGCTTATTTTAGTTGGGATATCGATGGGGTTTATTTAAAATTAACAAAAAATGTTTTTGGTAAAAATGTGTTTCTTGCCCACAAATATATTTTTCTTAAAAAATGGGCTCGAACTAAAAATTATTGATTTACAAAATACAAGTTTTACATAGTATTCTTTTTTAACCGACTTCAAAAAGAGGAGGTTATCAATACGTCATTACACGTTTTTTTATTGTTGTTCGCCACATATAATAGTCTGTGTTATTCGCGCATCTCTCTGAGATGCGTGGACCGATTTTGATGATTCTTTTTTGTTTGAATCAGTTTTTTGGCGAAATAGTGCCGTATTAATTTGGTGAGGATCTGATCTGTCTCTAGAAGAAAATTATGGATTCTGCAATTACAAACAGTACTCAATTCGTGTTTGGTTACTTTTAGACATATGATTTGTTTACCTTGATGTTTATATATATATATTAGCAATACGTATTTTGTATTTTAAAAAACTTATTCAAATTTCTCTCTAAAACGCTCAAGACTGTCATTGTGCCTTGAATGACGTCACGCCGTGCAAAACAAACAATACGCTGTACGTCGACTATTAGAATTATTTAGTTAAAAATTAATCGATCGCATTACAAGTACTGTATAGCGTCCCAGTGTAATAGCACAAGCATAAAAGGTTTGGGTTTAGAAATAAGCTTCTTTGTTCTGGGAAAACTGACGCCTTGGAGGGGCTCAGGGGGTTATACTGAAACCACAGACTTTATATATAAAGTCTTTGACTGAAACTACTGACATCGATTTTAGTAGCCGAAGAGGTAACCATTGGAGGTAACTACGTATTTTTTATTTTTATTTTTGAGTGAAACGAAACGCATGTTGTGGGAAGAAAAGGGTAAACTGCACTTTCAGGGCCCAAGTGGCGATACTTCACACTAAGTTAGGTTAGGTTAGGTAAGTGTTGTGACCATAACGCGCGAGCTGAGCGAGCGAAGCGAGCGTGCCGCGGCAGAGGGCGGCGAAGCGCCAGAAAAAAAAATAAAAGAGACCTTTGCTACAAAAAAATTCGAGTATCACCTCTTGGGGAAGTTCAGTTTTTACCAGTCTTAGTCTTGTAGGTTACTTGATAGGTTAGATTTTATAAAAAAATTCAAGTATGAACCTTCAATTTAGTATTTTTTTAATGAAAATATGGTTAGTAATATTATTTATTGTTGGTTTCGTTTCATTGTATTTCTTTAAATAATGAAAGTTCATTCAAACTGTGTTAAAAAAAAAAGTATGGATGAAGGTACAAACATTGCCTTTTTTTCAACACTGAACTTAGCGCACTCTGCTGGTGCATTTGAAAACTAATTTACGTTCCAATTAAGCATCAGCATAATTCGGCATTGTGCGCCACTGAGTCGCATTATGCTCTGTATTTGGAAAACTACCATAATGTTTTGGAATTCGTGACGTCAGTCTTTCTGATTGGTGTTTATCATCACGTGATCTAATGGCAATTTTTTCCGATTTTATTTCCTAAAAATAATAATAATCTTTAATTATTACGAAAAATAGCTTAATCTTTTTGTTATAATTCATTTATTAAATATGAATGATAATATATCTGTATTCATATTTAGAAACGGTAACCCATGCGATTTATTGATAGTGGACATAAGCCTATTAATGCAAGTGAAACTGCGGGGCACTACTAGTATTTATAAAATCTAAACTAATGAAATTTGAAGCATGTCGCCATAGTAAGAAATTATTTATATTACAAGACGCTTCGATTGACACTTGTTTCAAATCTGTTGGGGGGTGGGGATGTTTCTTCCCATTGTACTTTAACATCAGTATCTTATAACTACATTGTTGTTTGTGTACATAAGTAATATTAATTGCATTGAAATAGATTATCCATACATAAAATTTTAAAATGTGTTGCACGGGATAGACATACATTTTAAATTATATTTTTAAGTGGTGTCTTTGGTGATTTCCTATTTTTTTCTACTTTATTTTCTTCTCTTTTCCTGGAAATAATGCTTACAGTTATTAATATCCATGACTCTAATATAATGAGTCAAAACTACGTTTATTTCCTTTTATATACCGTTTCGGGGGGACCTAAATAAAGACGGACGTAACATCGTCTAATCAAGAGTGAATCATGCAAATGGCCGGCCGTTTACCGTGTGTGCGTGTGATTTGAAGGTGGTCATATAAGTCATCAATTTCCCTATTTTTTAAATATCTCAAACTTAAATATTGTTAACACTATGTAGGTAATAAATACATATTACAATAACGGGATATTTACCATGTTTTTATTAGATGTGAGCTCCCGATACTTCAGCAATTTAAACGGGTGCACTTTAGAAACATAATATTGTTTCTAAGATGCACCCGTTTAAATTTTATAAACCATTTTGTAAAACATTTATAATATGGCTTCTATTCTTTTCCTTTTGGGATACGGAACCCTAAAAAGTTACGAAATCTGACCTAACCGAGTCACAAATGCAAGATATACAAAATTCCCTACTTTTAGGGAAAACTTCCCGTAAATAAAGTAGCCATACTGTTGAATTTTTGTTTACCATTTTCATCCCAGTAAATAAAATATAATATGGAATAAATATCAAGAATTGTCAATACTAACGCATGGTAGGCGATTAACTATGAATGACGAATAAATTTAAAAGTCACAAGACTTTTAATTAGTTACAATCAGTTGCTAAACACAAAAAAGTTTGCTACATATTTACATATATATATATAAACAACAAAGAATTCACAGCGAGAACATATCATTTTATAAAACATATAAAATATTCTATGAATAGTATGGCTTCTATTCTTTTCCTTTTGGAATACGGAACCCTAAAAAGTTACGAAATCTGACCTTACCGAGTCACAAATGCAAGAAATACAAAATTCCCTACTTTTAGGGAAAATTTCCCGTAAATAAAGTAGCCATACAATTGTATTTTTGTTTACAATTTTCATCCCAGTAAATAAAATATAATATGGAATAAATATCAAGAATTGTCAATACTTACGCATGGTAGGTAATTCCTTGTGACTTTTTAAATTTATTCGTGTAGTTTTACAGGATATCACCCCACTAGACGGCATTTTTAATTATTTTTATCAGAGCAATTGAATGTGTGACTGCCGCTGTCACGCGGGGTCAAATGGCAGCGGTTTGTCCGACCTGTACCCTTAGTACGAGTTTGAGCTAACGAAAACTATCATAGTTTTCGTAATTGTAAATTATGTTTCTATATCCATTTTTGTGAAAAGTAACCAAATATACTTAAATTTTAAGAAGACGGAAATGATTTAATGATTGAATTTACACACTATTTATTTGTATTGAAACGAAAACAATAAAATCAACACACTTAGTACGAGTGCGAGCTCACGAAAACTATCATAGTTTTCGTAACTGTAAAACTCGTACTAAGGGTACTGGTGCATTAGTGTGAGTGTAGGTAGTGTACAACAAACGATTTTGTCTGACCTTGCATGCTTCACATGATTTGCCTTTGATGTTACGGCCGTCTTTTTTTTAGGTCCGTGCTGTTTCGACATCTTTTTGTGGAAATCTGATGATCTGATATACAAGCATTTTATGCTTAGTTGAGGCGTCAGATTCTGGCATGATTCTCTAAAGCTAAACTTAAATTTGATAACAGTGTATCTCTGTCATTCTCTATACAGACTGAAAAGGACAGACTGATGTCAAACTTAGTTTTAAGTTTAGAGAATCCTGCCAGAATCGACACCAGTGTATCCTGGTCATTCTCTATACAGGATAAAAAGTAGACAGTGGTGTCGATTCTGGCGTGATTCTCTAAACTTAAAACTAATTTTAACATCAGTCTCTCCTTTTCATTCTGTATAGAGAATGACAAGGATACACTGTTGTCAAATTTAAGTTTAGGTTTAGAGAATCATGCTAGAATCGACACCACTGGTGCCAATTCTGGCGTGATTCTCTAAACTTAAAACTAAATTTAACATCAGTCTCTCCTTTTCATTCTGTATAGAGAATGACAAGGATATACTGCTGTCAAATTTAAGTTTAGATTTAGAGAATCATGCTAGAATCGACACCACTGGTGTCGATTCTGGCGTGATTCTCTAAACTTAAAACTAAATTTAACACCAGTCTCTCTTTTCATTCTGTGTACAAAATGACAAGTAGGATACACTGTTGTCAAATTTAAGTTTAGATTTAGAGAATCGTGCTCTAGAATCGACACCAATAAGTGTTTAAAATGTATTTGTAAACGGAGGGGAAATAAATAAATAAAAAAAAACTCATCTTCATTCTGTGTGGAAAATGACAAGGATACACTGTTGTCAAATTTAATTTTAGGTTTATATAATCATGCAAAAATCGGCACCAGTGCCTAATGAAATGAGTTCAAAAAATCTTCTCCAGTTTTGAAAGAAATGACAGTTTTCATGGTGTACCCTCGCGTGACGATCAAGCTAGCGTATGCCTGGATAGACTAAAAAGGGATTATTGATAAGAAACCAATTTTTCAGATAATTAAGTGCTATAATATTGCCCACAGTATGCAACTTAATGATAGCTCATAAAGAAAAAAGTTAAAAGACATGACTTTTAAATAACCTTTGAAGCTGGAGTTGGATTGATGGAAGCGTACACCGAATAGTGCATAATATTATTTTGTTATTTTCTTTCAACCTAAGACACATGTTTAAATATGGCGTGAAATTCTGCCTGACGTTTAAATTTTGACATTTAATGCATGAACCTGTACCCTATGACAAATTTTACATTTATTGCACCTGGAGCGTAGGCATTGTACGGAGTCCAGGAGCGTAAGTTTGGAACGCAGCGCTGTCATTGTCAGTCGATTGTCATAGGCATGTGGTGTTATTTACATTTTATCATATCAGAAAGTAGTATTAATTAGTGATTCTAGTGCGAAAAATAAAGTATTTATTTGAAAAATGAAAAGCAAACCAGTTAAACACAAATCTACGAATACTTTCAGGGTAATAAACTTCATTTCATAATTCTTATATACCTTTTTGATGTTTGTTATAAATAAAATAATAAATAACCTGTAAACCGAGCTCGTTATGCCCTGCTCCCGGCTGTAACTGTAGGTCTTAGCTTCCACCAATATTGCGTTCGTTAGGTCAGGTACTGCGTTAAGCAAACCTTCTATTTAGACTATTAATGATGACTGATAATATTAAAGTGCGTAATGTTTTGATGTAACCTCATCAGCTATGAACCGTATAATCTATTTATTTTACAGTTTATACCATTTGCCGAGAGAATTAATGCTATAGATATCAGACATGCTGCCTTGTATCACATTGAGCATGCATACACACAACATCCAGAGGAGAATGATTCACATTTTCATTTAGCGATACAGAAATGGTATGCTCTCAATCTAACTGAAAATTTCAAAAAGTTTAGAAAGGAAGTATTTGGTATTGTTACTGTCCCTCAGATACTGCACAAGAAAGATGAAGTATTTGGTATATTAGAAAAATATTTGAATCTAGAAGACCAGCTATGTCTGCAACCTCTATTGGAGTAAGTTGCATTTAACTGCTTATAAAAACAGAATCAATGAGTGCTTCATTTGTTTGTAATTTTAATCATACTTTAAAATGTATTTCAGAATACTTGTTTCATTAGCTAAAGATTTACGTGATGATTTCTACCCCCAATTTCCAAAGTTCCTTGATATATTGATCAAGCTTCTTAATACAAAAGATGCAGAGAGACTAGAATGGGCATTAATATGTCTGGCATTTCTATTCAAGATATTGAAACCTTATCTAAAGAAAGATATTGCTACTGTCTTAAAAAGAATTATACCCTTACTTAGTGAGGCACATCCACAATATATTAACAATTTTGCAGCTGAAAGTTTTGCTTTTGTTGTGAGAGATATAAGAGATAAAAAGAAATTTATAGAACTACTGCTGACATATCAGAAGACAAATGATGATGTAAGTATTTATATTGTTACAAAAAAAAAAATATTTCCATAAAAATAATGAACATTTAACTTTTCTTTAGAAAAATGAATTGTTAAATAAATAAAAAATAATCATTGATAAGTTAAACATCTAAGTGTTTTACAATAACAACAATTCACATCAACCTTTCTTTAATATTTTTATGTCTTTGAACAATTTATTTTAACTTTCATTCATATTTCAATAGTATTACATAATTCAGAAGTGATCTAACAAGTAAATGGAACAACAGCCATTAATATTTCAAACTATATATTTGTATGATTCTGTTTGAATCTTAGCATATGTTTTTTCTCTTACTGACAGGCAGTTACAGGATGTGGACACCTCATATTTGAAATAATCCGGGGAGTTAATGGAAAATTTCACAGTTGCATTGACACATTCTTGCCTCTTCTACTACAAACTCTAAAAAATGACACAGTTCACCAAGACCTTCTGTTTAAAATTCTAACACAAGCAATTGAAGATAGCTTGCAAATAATATCACCTAAAGAATATGCAGGTTTTTGGAGCAACATTTTTCAATTCGTTGAAGAAATTCTGAGTGACAATACTGAAGATAACAGAGGTTTAGAATATATTCTGAGGCTTGCAGGTCAAGTCATTGAACATCAAAATGGAAAATATTTAATGAACCCACCACAATTTGTTTTACTACTTGTCAAAGTTGTATGTGAACAATTATCAGAGACTGTCTTGGAGGTTTGTGCTCAAATAGGTGCATTACTTCTCCTTTCGCCTAATATTTCATTGTCCCAAGAACATGCAGGCATCATTGTAAAAGTGTTGCTACCATTGCCATACCCAAACATTTTAATAAACTTTGTGAGAAATATTATTGAATATCCCCAATTTGACATGCACATTTTAACACCATTCCTGAATTTTGTTGTTCAGTCTGGGTTTGAAAATGAAGCGATGAGTACTTTAACAAAAATATGTTTGCACAAATCACCATTATCAATGAATGGAATAAAACTATTTGAATGGGTCAAATATCCAATTGATTTTGGGAGAGGCCTTCCTAATTTTATGGAACATTGTCTTTTGGTATTAAATGATGATATAGAAAATATTGTTGAGAATCCCGCAAAATTAATGAATGTATTGTTTTGTTTACCTCATATTGAAAATATTGATGTTGATTACTGTATAACAACACTAAGTCAGTTAATAACAAAATTTTTAAACATTTTGATTAGCTACAATATAGAAAGTCAACCTGAACAAAATAAATACCACTGTGATAATTCTGCTTTATCAAAATGTGCTAGACATGTGTTGTTTATATTAGCAAATGCTTTGGAAAGCTCAGTGCATATATCCAGTTGTAAGAGAATAAAAGATATATGTGACATTGATGTACTTTTGCCAATAATATTACCATGTGCAACTGATCCAAATTATTTGGCAGCATTAAATTTACTGGATTTGTACCTGACTGCATATGAACAAGAAAATGGGTTGACATATCCACATCTCTCATTAGTCAATTCTTATCTAAGCAACAATGTTTCATCTCCTTTTCATGTTGTAAGTAATCTTCAATGTTTATATATAATAGAAAATAAATTTTAATTTGTTTTACCTAATAACCTACTTTTGGGAGTGACCCTTTATAGTGTTAATGTTATAATTTCCTTTTTGAGACTTTTTCTCCTTTTGTTATTTTGTATGCATGCAGTTTGATAATTATTCTCCTAACTTAACCAGACGTTTTACCAAAGTCATTTAAAATATGTTTAAAACTACAGAATAAGTTTTTAGTAAGTTAATCAATATTTTTTAGGTACGATTGCTGACAACTCATATCTACAAACTTTTTGAATCTGTACCAGAACTAGACAAGACTGTAGAAATTGGTGGAACCATTGAAAGATTTTCAATATTCAGTCGGTGTTATGAAGTGGAATCAATAAACCCTTCCATACAAGAATATAAGTCACAAATTAACATGCTACAGAAAATGGCATTTAACACAACACAGTATACACTCGCAAAAGATACCGATTATCATTTGTATGCCTTAAATTATATGCTAGGTGTTCTGTATTTAAATTTTAAACTGTTATGGGAGCCTGTTTCCGATTTCATCGCGGGTTTCGGAAACGCTTTATCTGCTGATGATTTTTGGCCTCCATTTTATAAAGTATTGACCTCTTCTTTTGAAAATGCAAAAAAAGATTTGAAGAAATTCCAATTTGAAGAAGAACTTAATACATCTTACTATTTACTAAAAGAAATGTATTCCCATTACAATAGTATACCAGAAAGACCTGATTTGTATAATTTTAGATATCTAATACTCAAAATCATGACCAACTGTTCTCAAGTATGTGAAGCTAAAAATCGTGATGTCGTAGTTCTATTTCTAAAATTTATCGAAGAAGAGTACAAAGCAAATGATAATTCTAATGCTCTTAAAATTGATGTCGAAATACGCAAAAATAAAGTTACGGATGTTGATAATGAAATTATTGAAACGATAGAAAATAATGACGAGTTTATTGAACCTATAGAGGATTCCAAAGACTCTCCATCTGGTAAAGTAATTTTCAAAACTTTGATAGGTGTAATGCAGGTTTTGGCACAATTTAAAAATCCAAGGGCTCTACACAAAGAATCGGTGTTTTGGGAACTCTACATGGATTTCTTAAAACACAAAAATGCTGGTCTACAGAAATATGCATTGGATTGTATTTTAAATTATAAAAACAAAAGTGTCACACCATATAAAACTAATTTATATAATATGGTTGATGAGAATAAATTAAGGGATGAATTAACTAGGTTTAAAATAACAGAAGACTCAAATAACATACAACCCGATGATAGAGTTCATTTGGTCCCTATAATATTAAGAATTTTGTACGGAAAAATGACTGCTAAATTAGGCGCAGACAAAAAAGGTGGCGGTCAGGCGAGAAGGTCACTTGTGATGAGATATTTAGCAGGTTGCAATGAAAATGAAGTTAAAATGTTCATAGAAATGGCATTTTCACAATTTCGTAATTGCATGACTATGCAGCCTAAAGAAATACTTCAAGTCACTAAAGAGAAATTGGATTTGAAATCCCTTATTAGTCCTGGCAAACTACACAGTATTTTGAACTTATTTGAGATAGTGAGAGAGTATTTAGCAGGATACATGAAAGAAGAACTTTTGTCACAGTTCTTTAGGATTTTCTACGCTGTCTGTTCTGTAATAACAGCAGTTCTTTCACAGGAAAACAAAGTGCACAAAGGTTATATAAAAGTTTTTAAAAATCTTCGAACTTTGTGCTTGAGTGTATTAAGAAAACTATTTGAACAGCTTCATATTTATACGTGGGACAAAGATGAACTTTATATCATATTTGACACTCTAATATGGCCATTGCTACCAAAATTACAAATTGAAGGAATTCATAGTCCAACGGCACTGTTAAAATTAATTAATACGTGGTGCCAAAATCCACGATACTACATTTTGTTGATAACAGTATCTGAAACAGATGACACATTAACTGTTTTGCCAAACTTGTTTAAATTACTTTTAGCACCCAAAACAAGCCCTGGTGTAGTAAATTTGATTTTAGATATGGTAGAAAAACTATTGACATTAACAGAAGAAAACGATAGTGAAGGTAATGAGTCCACACCCATTGTTTCATTTAACACTTTGCCAATTGTTGGGAATAAAAACATTGAAGATATAAAAGAAATAAATTTTGGTAGCACAATTTTGATACCTCACATTACATCTATACTCGAGGTAATGAAGAGACGTATTGCAAATGCAGCTAAATCAAATACAGTTAATAGAAGGGACTTACTAATCCTTTCGAGAGTGACGGAATTAGTTTCGACACCTGAAATGTGTGATGAACTGCTGAATTTGCTTTTACCAATTTTAGTAAAAAAAGTGTGTATGAATATGGCTGAGGAAAATATGGAACATGCTGTGACCACTATAATAAATTTATTAGGTCACAGTTCTAATCCTCAAGCTTACATAAAAAATATAGCAGTTCTATTTAATAAAGTATCTCCTGTTGACGTTAGAAAACTTTTAATTAAATTACTTACATCAATAGCTGAAAATGCAAAGGAATGTAAAGAAATGTTGACAAGAACATCTGAAGTAATCACTGAAATGAACGCTTTCAATAAAAGGTGGATAGAACAACCAGATTTTGATCGAAGATTAGGTGCCTATAAACAAATATACCACTTATCAGATAAAAATGAGATCGATTTTGATCTTTCGATCCTGATAGTCAACAATTGCTTTTATTTTATTCGAACAGAAAAAGATATAGGTTTGCGTGACTCTGCAGGATTATGTTTAAAGAGAATATTACCAAAGCTACTATCAAAATATTGGTCTACAAACGATGGTCAATATTTAGTTAGAGATACTGTTTTATCTCTAATCTCTACTGGAATCAGGGATACTAAAAATGAGATTCACAGAAATGAAAGTATTGCTTTACTTGGAGAATTAGCTAGGGAAGCTCCCGAAGCAGACGTAGTTTTATCAGATTTAGCTAATATAACAAACAAAGAGGATATGGAAGTAGATTTCTTCGAAAATATGTGTCATTTGCAAATGCATAGACGTGTTAGGGCGTTGTTAAAGTTCTGCAAAATCGCGAAAAAGTTGAATAAATGTCCCACTCCAAGGACTCTTACAAATTTCATTTTACCATTGGCAACCATGTACCTTTGTGATGACAAATATACAGATAAGAATTCTTTGATTGATGCATGTATTGAAGTGGTGTCGACTTGTTGCCGATTATTGCCATGGTATCATTACGAGGTTATTCTAAAGTCTTATTTGAACAAAATGCGTCACTCGACCGAACACCAAAAGCAACTGACACGTTTATTAGTGGGAATATTGGACGCGTTTCATTTCGATTTTACTAAAGTAAAAAACATTGAATTACCAAAAGCTTTGATAAGTAATCTGGAATTAGGAAAAATTGAAATTAAGGCTAATCCTGGTTCAGATCAAAATGGAGATAATGAAAAACAGACAAAGGAAAATATAGTCGAAGAAGAAACAAATGACAAAGATGTCACTGAAGGTGAAACAGAAGAAAACCAGTTAGATAATGAATTAAATATTGCCGATAAGGAAGCAGACAACGATGATTCATTAAAAGAATCTAACAATGGTCCAGCATTTGAAAAGTTCACCAGCGTGTCGCCTTCAGTTGGTAAAAGGATCATTAAGTCCTTGTCAGCTGGACTTCTGCCACAGCTTAGCAGGTATACTAGTTTGTATATTATTTAGTAAACATGTAAAATATTAAAGACACATTTAAGATATTTACTTTTAATTTGAAGTTTCATCATCACATCGATAAAGAGCAATGTGTATAGATATACATTTTTTTTTCTAAATAAATTAAAAAAAAAATCGAAATGGATTTTAACATTTTTAGAACAATTGGCAAAATGACAGATCACGAAGAGTCGCACAAAGTGAACCGTCGTTCTAAGGGTTTTGAACGTCAAGAAGAAGATATGCTTCGCGTACCGATAGCTCTTGCTCTAGTAAAATTGTTGCAAAAACTACCAGGTGATCTACTTCGTTATCAACTTCCAGGGTGAGTGAAATATATAACAAAAATATAAAAAGCTATTTTATAGAAACATGAAAGTATAAATTATCATAAATATTGTTTCAGAATAATAATAAAATTATGTTCATTTTTAAAGTCGCCGTTGAAACAAGTGCGAATTGCTGCAAGGGATATAGTAAAGAAAATTATGGTTACCGTCGGCACTTCATACTTAGGAATTTTACTACAACATTTGACATTGTTGTTAACAAGGGGATTCCAAGTTCACGTACTAGTGGCTACAATTCATACTGTTCTTGATGCTCTTAAAACTGAATTTAATCCAGAAGATATTAATGAAAATCTTGATTATATACTCGATGTTTGTGTTAATGATCTCTTTGGTGCACTCTCAGAAGAAAAGGAAGTTGATAAATTACATTATAAAACTCCAGAAGCAAAACCAAGCAAAAAGAGTTATGTCACCCTTATGATAGTGTCTCAAAATATTACCGAAAAATTTTTAGTTAACCTGCTACTGCCTTTCAAAGAAGTCTTACAAAAGCACCACTCTAAAAAGATAGTGTTAAAAGTGCAGGAGGCCCTGATGCACATATCTAGCGGACTAGTTACCAATAAGTTCATAGACATAGAGTCTTTATTTATTTTCCTCCATGGAATAGCATCTGAAAGTATACCCGAATTCGTTTTGGGTGCGCCCAAACGAGAAATAACCCAGAAACAAAGAGAAAACATGCTTAAGGCTAAACCGGATTGCTATATCATACCAGAAACTCCAAAGCGCAATAGGGAAGCTCAAGCTAGAAATGTGAAAATTTCTGGCAAAGCTAACGCGCATGTCTTTGTTGAATTCAGTTTGAATATACTTTACGTTATACTTAAAAGAGAAAAAGTTCCAAAAATGGACTGTAGAGCGTTTGTTGATCCACTCATTCCGCTGTTGGTTGATGCATTAAAAAGTGAACATGTTAAAGTGACTACAGTTGCAATGAAATGTATAACATCACTGTGGACTATCAGAGTCAACACTCCTACTTTAGAAGAAATGATACAGGATATTGTGAAGACGATTTTTTTGATACTACACAAGTACGCTACATTCGAAATAAGTAAACAAAATGACAATTACCATCTTGTCAGAAATGCTTTCAAGGTGAGAATTAATTCAATTAGTGATTTTCGAAATACGTAGGCTCTATTTGAATCATCAAACCAATTTTTATTCATTATTTATACTTCGATTTATCAATTTTAAAACTTGCATATTTCTTTTAGGCTGTAACAGTTCTGATACGGAATGTTAAGTATTACAAATTGGAGGTAGATCAATTGAAAACCCTACTATTGTATGCTGAAGAAGATTGCCAGAACGACGAAAGACAATCTAATTCGTTTTCATTATTAAAAGCCATATTGGAAGCTAAGTTGGTTTCGAAGGAGTTGCACGAGGTTATGACTAAAGTTGCGAAAATTTGCATACAGAGCGAATCCGCCAAATCTAGGTAAATTACCCCAAGTTGCTGCTTAAAAAAATGTTATTACTTCATATGTTAGTTGAGTATGTATTTGATTTATAAGTTGCGCATTTGATACACAACATTGGTCCTCTAAATTGCTTGTTTCCATAAATGCGTTATCTCTAAATTATTTGTTTGAAAAATACTGTCTATTTAGACATTTTTAAATTGGAGAAAATATCATGTTGTCATTGTCACTATAAAGCAGATTGTAGATCTATTTATCTATATCTACGCCACACCTTCAATACAGACAGGCTTCTCATTTCTATGTGGCACTATACACTCTACAATTTAAAACTTTAAAGACACAATTTAACTTTTTTTCAAGAACCATAACATAGCTATATCCTGTATTATTTATAGGGAAGAAGCTCGCGTAATATACGTGACGTATGTGACCAATTATTCGCTCGGCTCTGACATACACAAGAGCATTGATTTCTTCGTGTCCCAGCTGAGATACGAGATGCAGCACGGTCGGGAGTCCACCCTCAAGTTTCTAGAGATGATCATCAATAAGTGCCCAGTGGTAAGTAAAGGAAAATTAAATCAACTCCAGCCTATATACCAGCGCTTTTTCCCAACGCATATTTCAAAATGTTTGGCATCCACTATTTTCTGGGCCAGTGTGGTGGGTCATGGCCCAATTTCCCTATTCCATCTGTAGGAAGGCCAAAGGGGAAGATCTTTCTTCCGAGCTGGGTGATTGTAACTCGGGGACCGCGGCCCGACTGATGTTGGTCGGGTATTGTATATATGGAGTGTTAGCTTCCGAATTTCACTTGCGCGATGTAGGCTTCCATACTATTGTGATCGCAGCTCAGGTTGCGCCATCTCTTGAGGAGGCGAGTGATTATTTCCTCCATAAAGTTATATGTGGGGCATATAAATGTCTCCGCCACACATCCATAGGGTAGGCCTGTGCTCCAGCAGTGGGGGCATTAATAGGCTGATGATGATGATAATGTAGTTTTCACACATTTACATACTCCGTAGTACTTCGTCAAATTAGTCAATGCCTCTTCAACTCCATCTTTACATAATGTTAATAATCCTGAACATATTTCTAGCAACAACTCACCAGCTTCAGTGACTACTTACTGTTCACTGTAGGCACATCAATGGTAAATGACTCAGTGCCCGAGATACGAGCGGCCGCCGCCGGCTGCATAGAATCCATGCTCGATAGATTGCCGATTGTGGCAAGGACAAAACTCTTCAATCTGGTGCTGATGTTCTTTCAAAAGACTCAGGTATGTTTGCCATATTTTGATAAAGTTCTCGCATAAACTCTTAGATACAGAAACTTAAGCGAAGAATAAGCGTATAAAGAGGCCATGCTCAGCAAATTGATTTCTGCGGAAAGAACGAAACTTTCCAATCTATTGCTCATGTTCCTTGAAAAGACTCGGGTATCTTTATTTTATATAGTGTTAAAATTAACTAAATTACTAAGTCTATAATCGTAGTCTCAATATTTCTTCACAGTCATTTAACTTTGAACTACATAGCTATAGCGGCACAACCCTGTGCAGATTTTTTTTTTATTATTATTCTATTTTCTTCGCTTTATTAAAATGGTCTGGGTTATTTGGTTTGTTTCTTCTATGTACCCTGTGCAGATTCTTCAATGCCTAAAAGAACGAAGTCCAGTAACTATTCTCAAAAACATTAACAATGTTGTGTGGGTACTTAGAGTTCCTGGGTTCGAGTCCCGGTGAGGCAAATTGTTGTATGATAATTATGGCTGTTTATGTATATGCCTTATAGAAGAACACGCTTTGCAGCGCTTACTTTAGGACTAGGCTAGTTGGAATGACTGTTAGATTGATTTTTTTTCCTTACAGCCATCCAACTTTGAACTCGCGGCACAACTGTGCATAAGATTCGTCAACGTCGAAAAAGACGAATTCCAGCAACGAATCTCGAAAGTACTAACAACGATAAGCAACAAAATACTTCTTTTGAGCAACGACATTACTGCGGGTAGATTCGTTAAGATACAAACGGAGAGTGACAGCATGACCGATGAAGAGAAACAGCAGGAGAAGGACCACTGTTTGATACAACTGCTCAACTTGATTGACAAGATCACTGTTCATTGCCCGACTAGTTTGGGAAATCACAAATATTTTGAAGATTACGATAGCATAGGCCAACAATGTCAAGTGAGTGTGTCGTACTCGTAAATATTGTCCATCATAAATATACTTTTTGCGCCACGTTCTTATTTTTTTTGTTGACTTTTTCGTGTGAATGATAAGAGATAAAAAGAGTAAAAAAGTAGTCACAACTAAAAAAAAATATTGCATTTTTAAAAATTCAAATTTAATTCAAAATTGCTTCGCAAAAAATCTTGTCCTTCTGACACATTATTCTTGACACAGTGACGAATGTCTTACGTCATAAATTTCGAATCGATTCTTATAACTCGCAGTAAAAAATTATAATTACAAAAAAAAGTCTGCTTCTTAATAAAATTACCCTGTATGAATTATTGATACAACTGCTCAATCGATCAAAGTCATTTTTCCTGCCACATGGCATTTCCGATGTAATTTTTCTTACCAGATTAACAATTAATTTTTTTTTTTACAAATTTGTGTTTTGTTTCGCCTAGGTGTTATTAGCGTATCCACATGCTTGGGTAAGATTGCGAGCAGCAAAAATATTAGATGCGTTATTGTCCGCCGTTGATCCAGTGGAATTGGAGAAGGTCGCGTCTAAAACGTTGGATAGCGAAAGGGGTTTCCTTTATTGCGATACGGAAGCGACTTTCAGGAGTCTGGTGCTAGATTTGTGTGCCCAGTTCACGCCTTCAGTGACCAAGAATATGGTTGACCAGGTATGACTAAGTTTGATGTTTTACGTGAACATAATATAGACGTGTGACGCACTGTAAATCTTGTGTCATGGGATGCTAGGGTAACGGATAGAATACATATACAGTACATATATAAGTATATTTATAAAGAAATACATATTTAACATCCATGACTGGAGTACAAACGCTCGTATTCATCAAACAAACATCTGCCCCCACCGGGATTCGAACCCGGGGCCTCTCGAGACGGCGACACCATGAAACACGGAGTACAAACTACTCGGCTACGGAGGTCGTCTAAATTATAAAGTAAGATAAACATTTTAGTAGGTAATTTACGATTTGAAGCTCACGAGAGAGGTAGGGCGTAGCTTGTTTCCCGCTCGAACTGGAGCGCCCGTCTGGAGTACTTCCATTTTACAAAACACCTCAACCACAGAATACAGAAAGAGGTTAGAAGGGTTTTGTGGGCGAGGCAACCGCGCCACAGTTATGTGTCAGCAAATACTCATAACTTGACAAAAACTTGGTTCTGATTGCGTCGTTGCTCTCGTCAGAGCGCTGATTGGTTCGATTGTTGGATGTCGCGTCGTTTGATTGGCTATTATCTATTAGGGGAAAGTGTAGTGGGGGCGAGCCGGCGACATCGGTTTCCGTACAAACGGTTATGATCACCCTCCTACTTCTAACTGCTTTCTGTGTTCTATGACCACAGCCATTGAAATAACAGTACCTTTTGATGCTTTTGTATTACTCTTCGTGAGAACTGTTCCAGGGCTCCGCGGGGTAAGGGATTGGGTCAGGGTATAAGTCGTGGCACGAAACTCTAGCGCTGACCGTTATTGCATAGAAGTAAAAATTGAGATGCCTTGGGGGGGGGGGGGGAAACGAGGTGCGCGGACGGGCGTGCGTTGCGCCGATTGTTTCTCCAGTCGTACTCATGCGCAGATATCCCCTCCGCGTTTTGTTCAGCGCTAGAGTTACGTGCCGCGACCTGTAAGGCTTGAGTGATATTTTTGATGTGCAACATCTTTCCTCTCGCTTTCGTGCATTGTGGGAGTTTGGGAAGCGCGCGCTTCTTGATTTGATTTTAGAACATAATGTTCAAATGGCTTATTCCTTATGTAGTGGGTTTTATTTCTTTTTTTTACTAATATAAGGTGAGGTTTCAAATTTTACACTTCATACGCGACTACTGTAAGGCGCTGTGCTGACGACGGGACGGGGCGGGCTTTTTGTCCGCGAAGCAATTAAAACCGCGTCTGCCCGTCGATGTCTGCGGCTGCTTTCGCCGCGTACACAAAGCACACGACGGGCAGAGGCAGTCAGTTCAGGACGTTCGTTCTAGTGAATAGTCCATCACTAAAAAGCGCGTGGCGCGGACTGAGCTAGCCGCCCCGCGCCGCCGTCTGCGTTACTGCATATAAACTGGTTTGTATGATCCACGGCGGGCAGCCGCGGACAGAGTGCCCGCCGGGCAGCTGCGGTGCGGTCTTTTTGCCCTCTGTGTGCGTTTGTAGTATAGGATTCACTTTGTGCTATCGTTCGCGGCGAAATTAACCGGCCCGCTCCGCCCCGCCGTCTGCAAAGCGCCTAAGGCTCGCTCGTATTTTAGTATCGCGAGCGTCTACATGCTGTGGTGGCCGCTTACCATCAGGAGGGCCATATGCTTGTTTGGCACTTTTTTAAAATAAAATTAAAAACTTAAGTCTTTTTCGTGAAGAATGATAAATACTAGTAAAACTGTACAGTAATTTTTCAATGGTAGTTATTTGTTTCATAAAGTTTGTTTTTTACTACAGTATTTTGGAAAATGTACACTACTGTATTCTGTAGGAGGTTTATTTACCACGGTATAATTCACTGTTTCGTTAAACAACAATTACTATGGTATTTTACTGTGGTAGTTCTGTGTTAGCATTGCAGTTGATGTCATTTCCATAGATTAGTATTGTAAAATTTATTCATTTCTGATCACATAACATTTATGTTTCTGATTTAATGGAGTTAAAACCTCAGAATAATATAGATAAAACTCCAAGGAAAAAATAATAAAAGTAAGCATTTTGAATCCTTTTAAACGTTTTTTATGTGTATATGTGTGTGTTTTAATGTGTGCTACGCTTGAAAACTTAAGAAACAACTTGGAATAATATGTAAATTAAAGAATCAAAACGGTTGTAAAAGCAAAATGTCGAAAAATAATTTTCGTTTCGTTAAATGTTCAGTCAACGGCTGTCAGGTTTGCTAGACAATATTTTATTTTTACAGGTGACATCAGTTCTATTTCAAATCATGAAATTGGTGCATTCGATGCCTTCCTTCAGTGTAACATATAAAACAGACAACAAACAGATGGACAGCGAAGAGGCAGAGGGCAGGGCGAAGGTCAACATACGATGGATATTATTTAAGCTCCGAAAGGCTATTAACGTGGAAGTCGCTAAAGCACCGAATTCTATGACTATTGTAAGTTATTTATTTGTTTGCATTTGGGGAACAGTCTTTCACAAAGTTATATTAATTTACACTTATTATTATGAAATACATAAACCAGTGAAGTTTCCACATATGTACTCCAAATATTTTAAATGTGAACTGCCTGTCTTTCTATTTGTAACCTGTTCGTGTTTAAACCGCGGAACTGATTAAGATGAAATTGGATATAGATATAGCTTAAGTTACGGAAAAGGACACGTGTAGCAAATTCGTTCGATTCGATCAATTTTCAATTCATAACTCATCATAATCCTTTTTTGAGTATTTTTATTACAGAAGATCTAAAGGACATCGACGAAATCGGCCCTAGCATGCCCAGAAGAATGTCCTTCACTATTATTTTTCTATTATTTTTTTAACTTATTAGCAATAAATCATAGTAAACGGACAATCTGTTTAAAAAATAAAAGTTCTGTTACTAGATACTACAGTCTGTTCATCCAACTTGACACTCCTTTTTATTGAAAATACAGCATTAAAAATCAACTGATAACTGGATTCAATAGGTTTCAGTCTATAATAACGATTTATTTTAATAGTTTATTTTCTTCGTTAATATTTTATTATTAAATGGGTGATTCTGTTAAAAAGTTGTGCCAAGATTGTTTACCTTAGTAATGCAATATAGGCGACTATAGGTATTTATCAACATAAAAATAGAACTAGGTACCTTAGTTAATAATACTTATTACTAGTATCTATATTATATTTATAAAAAGATTATTTCTGAAATTATCTAAAGATAGTTTATACTCTCATCCCATGTAATATCTGTTTATTTTTATGAAAATCATAATGATAACCAGGTACCTACATACCTAATTACCGTTAGTAAAATATAGAAACAGGTAAACGGAAAGACTGAACATTTCAGTTGAAAAGAAATCTATCATTACTTACTACAGGTAAAATCAATATGAATATAAGCATTTATTATTTTTATTATAAATTGCATTTTATGTTCATTTAATGCATATTATTTAAGTGCTTACATAGGGGTAAACACTAAATCTATTCAGAATATATAAAGTGTACATCTTTTATGGTTAAGTATAATAATTATAACCTCAAAATCTAATACATTCTGTAGTAGGCCACGGTTCCTCAAGTTGTCCGTATATCATCAAATGCTTATTTAGAGTTTATGAATGATTCCGAACACAACTAGCATTTTCTCATTGCTGGGCGATCTAGGGCATTCAATGTATGGGGAACGAGCAATGTCCTTTCTCTTGCATTAATGTATGTACGCCTTCAGTTCGATCGAACAATTTTCAATTCAATCTTTATCAAAAACCATTTACGTTTTCTTTTTTTACAGAGGACCTCAATTTTCACTGCATTATTGCACACCATCAGCTCGTTCGAACAGCAAGATCTAAACCAAGTAATAGACGTAATCCTACCGCCAATAGTTCGCGAACTATCCGTAGGCGATGTGGGGGCGCCAGCGTCGCCTGCCAAACAATTAGCCAGCAGATTGGGCAAGAAACTCAGAAGGAAGATCGGCGATATAGAATACAGCAAACTGGTTGCCGAAGTGCAAACTAAACTTAATGTCAAGCGAGCTGAGAGGAAAAAGGTGAGTGTTTACTAGAATACAGGTAGTTGACGACAGCATCTTTATAGTGCGACAATTCAATTAAATTTTTTGGTGATTATGGCGGCGAATCATTACGTGACGATTTTGCCAATGTCTGGGTTAACGAAGATAAGGTGAGAGAGGTAAGCTGAGACTATATGGCGTGAAGGTTAGAGTTATAGAGAGAAGGAGAACGATCGCTGTAGAAAAGTGTCCCAGAAATATGGGCAAATTAAGTGAGGCGCTGCGATCGCTAAGTTGTCTCAATAAAAGCGGGCTGTTGTGCGCTAATTTGAAATGACCAATGCCGTGAGGAAAATTTGTACATTATTCAACTAACTTCATCTACTTGTGCTCATAATCAGCTAACTTCACAGATACTCCTTGCCGACGGCAGCGCGGCTGGTGGTTGAAAAATGAACTATAAATTCAACAAATTTCAGGGAAAGGTGGACTAATGCTTAGCACGTAGCAATCGTTCTTCTCTCTAACCTTCATGCTGTACGGTTCTGTTGACGTTTAGTACGACAATGATCTTTATGAATGTGAGTGACAGTTCAGGGAGGTCGCTGCTGTCTACGTAAATGACAGTTAATGACACACAAAGTATGACGGTCATCACAGATGGCGGTGTTAGTTCCTACTTTCGCCACATTCATAACGATCTTTTTCGCACTCATTTTGTTTTTATAAGGCTTTTTATGTTTTTTGTGTGTTTAACTTAGACTTGACTTTTAGTGATTTTATTATTTATTCCTGATTGTTGATGTCAATTGGCCAAAATATATTTGGTGCTCCACGAGTCATTGTTATATCACACATTCTACTCCCCAGGCATCGCTTTTCGTGCGGTTTGTTGAAGTTTTTTTAATGTCAAAATCTGGAGTTGTCTTAGAGAATTTCATAGTTTTTAAAGTGACTCTTTGTTGTTGTGCGTGGCAAAGATACATATTTAAATTTTACGATAGTAATAAACAGGGTTGGTGGTGCGAATCAGAACAATATATTAAGTGGGTAATGTTTTCCCTTAATCAAATCAAGGCGGTAACAAATGTAGATGAAGCCAGAATCTCTTTTTATTCATTTATTTGGATCAACAAGGTTCATAAAATATTTATAATGCATAAAATCCTAATCATTATAAAGATATAATAAAATAATCACAATAATTCACGTCTTCTTACCTAGTCTTCTAAATCACTGGGAGCTCGAGAAACTTTTGGGCATCCATCCTATTACCATTATTCAAGTTCCTAACTTCTACATTCGTAAACTGAATACCATGAAGCTCCTCAAAACATGTTTATTTATTTTTCAGATATTACTACAAGAGAAAGTCAACAACCCTGAGAAAGCAGCAAAACGGAAGCTCCAGTTGAAGGAAAAGAAAAAACAAGCCAAGAAAATGAAGTTGGAAATGTTGCACGGCAAACGACCGCGCGCCAAGAAACGGAAAGCAGAAGACATAGACATCGAAGACCAACTATTGAACGACAATGAAGACTGAAAAACAGAAACAAACTTTTGTATTTGTTGAAAAAAATGTCGACTGGCAATAGCTACCCTTCTTGAGTATAATAGCTGTTGTAACTAATGCTATAAATGCGAAAGTGAGTTTGTTACGTTTGATAGCGAGAAATGTATTTCTCGCAAAAAAATAATTTAAAAGGAGTGAAATAGGAAGTGCACGTTTCATTGGAAAACAACATTTTTCACGCAAACGAAATCGCAAATTCGGGTGCCTGCGATCCATATATGGTTTGATAGAAACCGCCTAGAGGCATTTAGCTATAGACTATAGATGCTTGCGATAATGCTAGGGTCCAAATTGCGGGAATTCAATTAAACATGATGCGCCATTAATTCTTAAGCAACAAAGATATTGACAGCATTTACTATAATCAAATTATATACGTATCGTCTCTGAGTGAAATGGGTCTATCAGTTTGTGGATTTCTTACTGAAGGACACACACGTGCTTTTTCTATGCGCCTTAAAACCCGTAATTTGAAGCTCTTGACTGTATTTTCAAATCTGCGTCAAACGCTTTAGGTCCAAATAGAGCAACGAGTGATAAGAGGTCTCTACTAAAAAGCGGCCTTTTTAAACTTACTTTTTTTTTATTTATTCGTGGCCTGGATACAGAGTCCTGCAGTCGAATACATTGTGGGTTATTTTTAAACTTACCTGTTGGTAAAGTTGCTAGCTTCATATTGTAAGAAGTCTACTTTGGTAGCATTGTCGAATAGGTATCCTCTGATACTTACTCTTTAAATTTCATAGAAATGAGATTTGAATATAATATTTGTAAATAATAATAGTATCTAGACAATAAGTGTTATATTGAATATATTTGTACAAAAAACAAATGCGTTCTTTATTGTAATATTTAGGGATTTCAAATAATACAACAGTTCTTTTTTTATAAACAAAATAATATTGCTTTATATTATGCATTCAAAGTACAAAAGAATACAATATCAACAAATTATCGTAGAACGAACAACATCCACAGAAATTATTCACAACATCACAATGGTAACAACGCCTTTTTACAAAAGTGCGCAAAGCGTAATGTTACATTATTCTTAAATCCACTCATCACGAGCAAATTTGAACTCTAATACCTAGGAAGCATAGCGTTCATTTTTTCTTAAGACTGTGCTAACACCTTAATTATAAATACAGCTCTGTGAGAGAGGCAAAGCTCGTTTGTTTTTATAGCTGAGAAATGAATAATTACTTTTATCACGTACTCTCAACAGATTATTCAATTGCCCAATAGACATACAATTTATGCCACACTAAAACGCGATCCGGTAACTCAAATAACGTTAGCAGACATCCCTCTCAGCTATAAATAATAGGAATAGCCCATAGTCCATCTCAATAGGTACCACAAAATCCTATATGATAATTTTTTTACAAGTTTACGATAAATCAAAATAAACAATTTACATAACTACTGCAAAATACTCGTTTCTTTCCAAAATTCTTAAGTTATACCTGTAGACAAAGCTTCGTTGAAATATTATAAAAACATAAGTATAGTTCTGTAACAATGAACTTATTACACCGTTATTTAGATTGTTAGATTTATCATTCGGAATCTTTAAAATTTACATTTTTTCTATTTATAAATGAACTTCCGATTAGACTATATTATAGGAAGTGAGAGTTCTACCAAAACTTTCTAAATCATTCCATTTTTTTTCTTTCATTCATACTATTTTAAAAAAAATCATACTAAAATTACTTTAAGCATATTATAAGAACCTAATTACCGGATACTAGATTTAAGTCATCGTTTATTAAAATATTAGTGAGTTATTTTTTTTAAAGCCACATAGGCAAATGACTCTACCCCACCTGATGTTAAGTGGTGATAAGAGTCCAAACGCGAAGATAGCTGGTACAGCAGTTATAAACTGCCACACCAACCATCTTCACCTTACCGAGCTGCATATGCTTCACGCCTCTCTTAAAGGACCCCAGATTGTAGGAAGGAGGCACGTGCGCAAGCAAAGAATTCCACTTACGAATAGTAAAACAAAGAAATGAGTCGGCAAATTTCTTTGTTTGTTTAGGAATAGTGGCCACAGTAAGTCGGTGGCAAAGTAGGCCAGCGCTCGTGGTCCTCTAAAGAAAAGGTGATGGAGAGATAATGGAGAATAACTCCTCAGAACACTCGCCGTGGTATAGTCGGTGGAATGCGCTTAATGGTGCCACATCGCGGTGTAATTGAAGAGACTCTGAGTTTGTTAGTTACCTCTTCATCGCCAATGATGCGGGCAGTGCGCCGGCATCAACCTATCAAAGGCATCGAGTAAGTACCTACTTAGCGGAGCCATCCCAGAGGTGCGAGAAATATTGCAATTTCTCTATGATGTGTTTGTTGGTTTCAAGCGTGGACATAGAATTATAGAGATAGGTAGTAATCACTACCGTTTTACAGTGGTTTTCTAATAATTTCTTGGTTTAAAGGCGAGCAAAATATTTATTATGCATACGTATTTGATTTCTCTCATTTATTAGCTCTAAGTATAAATATTTAGTATGTGCGCAGAATAAGATTACCTAGTTATAAAAGAAAGCCCTAAAAATTTAATTGTCTTCGTTGTTGTATTTTCTAACTATTTGATGGTGCTATTTAAAGACCATTCTGTCACTTCAACTAAATATTGATTTATCTAAATATCTAGGTACTTACTAAATTTTCATAGTTATTTTTACTACTGACCTAATATTTTGCAGTGGTTCATAATTTTGTATTTCAACTAAACGCAAAGGTAAATGGGTATTTAATACGTCGGTTATTTTAATTGAACTATCTATTTACAGCACCATATAATTTTAACAGCAATACGCCATAACTTTTTTTTATTAAGAAAAAAACATTTCAAGTTAAACAGAATTTAATTTTACGATGACGAAGAAGATCCTAACTATTTTAAACTGTCGCTTTGCATCCATGATACGTAATCTTTATTATATTAACTAACGAACGAAACGGAAAAATAATAGGTACTATCACAATGCTAAATAATGCTAAACTAAACTAAAATAGATAGATGAGAAATTGGTGGAGATAATAAAGATAAGAACAACTCGAGCATCATAAAACGGGTGATACGCGCAGGAGTGTATTTTGAGATCTGTCCCCGTAGCATGAGCACCACAATTTACATTGTATCACGTATTTTAACGTACCTAACTGTCAAAATTCATAGTAATTTGACAATTGAGCGTGATAAAAACGTGTTATATAGCATATCATGCTGCTCATGCAAGGGGGTGGGCTCACCGGGCCATTTACGATTTGCTCCCAACCCTAGAATTAGAGAAGCAAATCAAATTATAGTTCAGCGATGAATGCCGAAAGAAATGCGAATGATTAGGCCTGATTTATTTATCCGTACATTTGATACAGCTGGGTCAGCTGGAGGCATAGTTAAACTGGAAAGCGCTCTTTATTAACAATTATTTATTTGGTCGAAAAATTTTACAGACATACGTACATGCTTATATGTCATTAGCATTTTGTAGTAGTTTTTTTACTAACCTAATTACGGCATTCTTTTGCAATAAACTTTTAAAATAAGTAAGATTCGGCCCAAAATATTGAAAATTATCAGTTGAAATTATTTAATACTCCATCGAATAACTATAGCAGCAAGTAGTCATGTTTTTAGATAGACATGAGATTTGCCATATAAAAAACGGCAAAGTGCAAGTCGGACTCACAGAATATTTAGTTGTAAGTATTTGTTTCTTAGGTTTTCTAGCACACCATTCATTAAATAAAACAAGTTTCAACGGTAAACGATAAACGCACTGATTTATTTATTTATTGACGTTTCGCATTCTTTTCAGGATCTATACCGTTGAAACATGTTTTATTTAGTTTTAAGTATATTCATTATCATTATCCCATATAACAACGTGATATTGTTGCCTTTTTTCGCTCGTCAATATAATACAGTGATAATATTGTATAAATAATGGTACGGAACCCTATGTGCGCGAGTCTGACTCGCACTTGGCCGCTTTTAAAAAATATATATAGGTAATACCCCAGGGCAATATAGTAGGTATTTTTTTTAATATACTAGATACTTAACTACCTATAAATGCAACCTTTTTAAAAGAGAAGAGAAATATTATCTTGTAATCATTCGTTTTCTCTGCAAGAAGCTCCCTCAGATAAAAATAGATAAAAATATAATATTATCGTAATAATTAGGTACCTACTTTTGTGAAAACACAAAACTATAGCCAACTTGACTGTTATGATTTATGAGGCTTTAATTTATAAAACGATACATCTATCACAATGGACGGTCGCAAGCTCGGCATTTTTTTTATAAGTTGGGACAAATTAAACCCTTGATTTCGATTTCAGACGAATTAATATTTTCCTGTTTTTTCAAAAATGTACAGACTAAGTACTGAGCGAGCTATAAAATCTTAAAATATGAAACGAAGCTCAGAACTTACAATTGCGAAAAAAAAAGTTAGTTGATTAAAGTAGATTTGACAATATGCAGTGTATTTGTATAACTAATTTCATAGTATATTTGTACCTATTTTTTATTAAATAATAAATAGCATCGAGATTATCAGAAATGTGTAATTGATAAGTACGGTAAGGTAGCCCTTGACTTGTAGCTAAGTCTTAACATGTCTAAGTAATTTATTAGATATCGGTTTATTGCTTAGATTGTTAGGTATTTTATAGGATAAAGGATATGATATATTTTACGTTGTAATTACCCTATTATAGTAATCGATAATATGCATTAGTAATTATAAGGATAGCTATGGTAAGTATAGATAGAAGATTGGAAATCAGTAGTAGGTTAGTTGTGAATATTGAACTAGGTAACTGTATATTGACTATTTTATATTTACCTAACTATTCGCTGCTACGTTCAAAGGGTATATTATTAAATCGATATTGCTCTTTGGCCGATTATAAAATTGACTCCGCGTCGATTCATAAAATCGTTGCTTAATTGACTGTTATTGGATTTAAATGGTAGGTAGTAACCAGACAACACGCGAAGGTTTTGTGGTAATTCATTATGTCCGATATAGGTGTCGATTCTGTCATAATTCTCTTAACCTAAACTTAAATTTGAAAACAGTGTATCCTTGTCATTCCCTATACAATCGAACAGGACGAAGAGACTTATCTTAAATTTAGTTTTAAGTTTAGAGAATCATGCCAGATTTGATACCATAGAGTAGTTATGATATTTCATTTACCGCATATTCTCTGTATTTACCACATCCCGATATATTTTATAATCATAATGAGCAAAGTAAGTATAATAAGTAAAAGATAAAAAGACCCGGTGAAAAAACATTAAAGCTTACTTAAGGCAGTAATTATTAACGTTGAATTTTTAAATGATTTTCGGAACTCGATTAGTACCTAAGCATTCAAGTCTTAACACACTCGCAAAAGAAGTTGTGACATAATTAAACAGTATAATCGTAGTTTTAAAAAAAGGGTTTCTATCATCTAATAAAGGAGATCATAAAACCAAACTTCTCTCAACAAGTATAAAAGCTCAAAAAGACAGACAGATCTCACACTAACAGCTCAAGCATTACAGCAGCATTGTGGACATTTCATGATTTTCAAAAGGAGAATCCAAAGTATGGATGTGGTGTGGCCAAAGCTTATCATTCCCATCACAGCTTCAGAGACCAGGAGGTGGAAAATTCCCTGGCGGTGAGTAAATGACACGCGGGCGTTTGAGGTCAAAAGACACATGGCATGGCTTATGTAGCAGTATGGATATGGGGTTGTATATCATGATTTCGATAAAAGGATCCAAAGAATCGACGTTGTAGTTGCGAAAGCGACTCCTCCCCATCCCAGCTCCAGATAAGGCGGTGGAGTGAATTCCCTAGCGGTGAGTAACTGTAACGCGGACGTTAGGGAGCAAAATAAAAACAAGTCTCACACCCATAGTTCAAGCATTACAGCAGCATTGTTGATATAGGATTATATCTCATGATTTTCAAGAGTAGTACCTAAAGTAACGACGTAATAGAGACTAAAGCTTCTACTACTCAAGTCCCATCCCAGTTCCAGAGCTTTCCTTTTCTCAGGCTGAGAAGTCCCTGGCGGTGAGTAAAAGTAACATGGACGTTTGGAGTCAAAATATAGACACAACTTAAGCATTACAGCATCGTGGATATAGAGTTTTATATCATGTTTTTGAAAGGACAATTAAGAGTAACGTGACATGGTGGTGGCTAAAGCTACTCCTCCCATCCCATCTCCAGACACTAAGCGGTAAAGGTAATGGTATTTGGGAGCAAAATATAAACAAGTCTCACACCAATAGTTCAAGCATTACAGCAGCATTGTTGAAATAGGATTATATCTCATGATTTTCGATAGTAATATCCAAAGTAACGACGTGGTTGTGGCCAAAGCTACTCCTCCCCAGCCCAGCTCCAGAGACCAGGAGGTGGAGAACTCTCTAGCTGTCAGTAGAGGTAACGCGGGTATCTGGGGTCCGACCACGCCGTCGCTGGTGTCGTCACTGTGAGTGCCCCTGGTCGACACCCGCTGGATCCGCTTGAAGTGGATTATCATCAGTGTGAACATCGCGAACAGACCTGCAAGTTGGATTAGCTGGAATTTTCTTTATCGAAAGTTTATGGGCTACTTATAGTAGGTAGTTGGATCTGCTCAAGGGGTAAAAACTCGGGAGGAGCTCGCGCATTCGGCCTGTTGTCGTGGCAGTTAAGCAACTTTCACAACGGCCGGTCATTGGATCGATGACCAAAAATGTATTATCTCGAGCTTCTCCGTTTTTCGGAAGACACGTTAAACCGTTGGTCCTTACAGCTTATGCAGTGGTTAGCACCCACATGCTACAGAGCTCATCTCTCTGTGCCATCCATAGAGAAGGCCTGTGCCCTAGCAGTGGGAATATAAATAGGCTGATGGAGATGAAGGAGAGAAACAAAGGCAATGCTCTATTGAACTTGGTTTAATTAAATACAATAGGTGATCCTGACTATTATTTAGATAAAAGTTCTGAATTTTGAAACTTATAAAATTTTTCGTCTGTATTTATAAAAATCGAGCAGGTAAATACTTAGATACTTAACTTATAATACGACTCACCTGCTAATAAATACATAACCCCGGTAATGAGAACAGCACTGATCTGGTGCTTGCAAATACCGAAGGCACCCACCAGCGCCGCGCTGCCAAGAACTATCAAGCATACCAGCGCGCAAGATATGGACAGATTTTGCATGCCTGTAAGACATAAATTTACTTGTTAAGTATTTGACTTCTTGATTTATGAAAACTGAAATCTCAGATTTTTGTAAAACCGTATAGGTAACTAAATCAAACTAAGTTCACGTAAGGTACATTGCACGGTGATTTTAAATGTTGCTCTCAGGGATGATTTCGATAGAGGGATCCAAAGAAACGACGTTGTAGTGGCCAAAGCGATTCGTCCACATCCCAGCTCCAGATCAGGCGGCAGTGCAGTCTTTGACCTATTGGAGGCCCTGGGCATATTAGGATAATGGGGTCCCTATGACCCCCGTTTGGTGATTTAGCAGGAACTAGGGACTTTGTATTTGATCTGAGGAAGGCCGCTATCGATCGCGGGGCCCTGGGCACTTGCCCAAAGTGCCCACTGGAAAAGAGGGATCTGGCAGGCGGTGAAGAATTTCCTAGCGGTGAATTTCTGTAACGTGGTCGTTTTGGAGCAAAATAATAAGTCTCACACCCATAGTTCAAGCATTACAGCACTCTGATTTTCGAGAGTAGTATCGATCGATCAAAGTAACGACGTGATAGAGACTAAAGCTACTACTAAAGCCCCATCGCAGTTCCAGAGACCAGGCTAAAAAATCCCTGGCGGTGAGTAAAAGTAACACGGGCATTAAGGGGTCAAAATTACGTAAAAGTATTGGATACGAAATTGGATATGACATTGGATGTAGATCATTTCTAGTTTCATTTTCAAAACATGGATCACCGCCGTAAAGAGTTATTTTACAGGCTATATACTTAGTACATTAGTACTTACCTGCCTATTATATTATCAGTAACTTCAGACAGTGGGCCATTCAGTGATGACGCAATTACGCTTGGTAGTTAGCCCGAATACGAGTGCCAATGGAATTCGAATAAACAACTAAGTGTAAATGAACGGTGTCGAGTACGCCCCTATTCGGGTAGATTTCTTTTTACCCGACTGCGATGCAAGAGCGCGAAGCGCGACGCGCAGACAGGGTATAGTGTTTAACAGTCTATATATGTGGCACACTAGAGACCATACGCCAGAACCGATTTTGATGATTCAAACATCAATCGATTCGTCTCAATCATGGGAGTGCTACTAAAGATATCATAGTAATCAAAATTCAATATGGGAAAAATTAGGCGCCATATTGTGACGAAGTAAAAACAATAAGTTAACATAATATGTCGAGTGAGGTATCACTGTATAGATAATCGAAAATCATGTTTAGGTTCTTAACACCATTTTTAATTTTACATGATTGTTTAGGATCTACAACGCTTTAAAATATAATATTGAAAAATATTATGTATTCTTGAATATCTAATGGGTCCCGACTGTTAAAGTAGCTTTGTTCCTTATTAACAGAATTATAGACTACTGGACTTGTTTTTTTCTTTACAGTTTTTATTAGAAGTACAATTAAGCAGTCGGGTTTTTTGATTTTTTAAATTTTTATTTATCTGACACAGTCTTCTGTTCGTTCTTCGAGTGTCGGAATTCGAGTAATGTCTTTTATGCACCAAAATACGGGCTATCGACCAAATGTAATTGCGCCATTACATGAGAATATCCCACCATACCTACTAACACAAAAAAGGACTTGCTTTTTGCCACCTTCAAAATGCATAAAGCCAAAGAGTGGAATACCGTTTGTATTTCCGAGATTATATAACCCGAATCCATTCAGGTCACAAGTACCTAAACTTATGAATGAGGTCGTTCCATCGTCGACTTCATCTTTTATCTTCGGGCTAGATCGAGGTCAAGTGTTTTTTAAACTCATTCGTATAATTTGGAAAAAATTGTAAAAAGTGGATGGAAAAAAGTATAGCAAAATGATCCTTTATGCTCTGCCAACCCAAGCAGGAATTACCAGATATTGATTTTTTTTATTATGTAAGTCAACATTTTTAAACTTACTAGGTACCCAATTACAAAATGTATTTCAGGGCGCTATGCTATTAGTATACAGGTCGTCCCATGGGTTTGTCACACGGAAATTGTTTTAAATATTGAACATAGTTAGATATTTTACTGAAAGAAGATATCATTTATCATTTTTAATAATAATTAGAACTGCATTCACAGTTTTAAATCGTCTGCTAAAACTGGGAATCGAACTCGTGAAATAAAAAAAAACTCATGACGTAAGGGTTAATCATAAGGAATATTTTTTCCTAAAAACGTATCATTTTAAATAAAAGGAAGATCATGAAATTTAAAATTTGTATAGGTAAATTTCCTCTTTCTTCTGCGTGCTTCCAACAGGTAATGTTGTTATTCAAAGTATTTTGTAACTAAGTAGGTAGTACCTTTTCATTCAATAATACAGGATTTCCTTACTAAAAGTACTTGAAAAAAATAGGTATTCAAACCTAGCACCGTTTCTTTTCTATTAAAGTTTGTGTTTAGTTATTAAAAAAAAGTCCAATTTCGTGATTTTTCTTCCTTCCTTCATTTAAAATGCTATGTTTTTATGGAAAACATAATGCTCATAATTTACCCTTTCGATTGTTATCATAAAATACCTACATGTGTTTTTTTGTTTCTCAATTAGCGAGTTTGATTCCCGGTTTTGGTAGGGGATTTTTTAGAAACAGTGAATGCAGTCCTCCTTATTATTAAAAATTAAATGAGGTCTTCTTACAGTAAAATATCATATATTCAATATTTGATGTACTTTCTCTCCGTGCGACAAACCTGTGAGACACATGTATATATTTACGAATAATGAAACAATAGTTTTGTTCTATAATCATTTGATGAGAATATTTAATATAATAATGTCTTTTCGATGAGCTTTTAATGGCCTCATACTAAAATGATATAAAGCACAGTCGAAGAAATTGGATGTCTACTATAAGTAGGTACCTATTCAGCTGGTAAATAAAGTCAGACTAGCGATATAATTGAAATAATGACATATGGATAGACTGGATTACACAATTTTGAGAATTAGAGTTTAATTGACACCGACCGTTTAAAACAGTTCGAGAAGAGATTAATTTGGTTAGTAGTAAAAAAAATGGTGTAAGAGAGTTATGGCATAGCGGGTTTTCCGCTCGATTGGAGCGTCCGTCTGGTAATCAACCTATACCTTACATTAGAAGCCAAAATATCACAGACAGAGTAAAATAACACTCCTTTTTGGTGGTGTTGTGTTTCTGTCGCTGATTTTAGGCACCATGTTTTTTTTTATTTTATTTTTTTTGATAAGTCCGACAAATGACTCCACCCCACCTGATGTTAAGTGAAGGTGAAGTCCAGACGCGAAGATAGCTGATACAGCAGTTCTACCTGCCACACCAGCCATCTTCACCCTGCCGGCCTGCATGTTGCTTCTTCACGCCTCTTTTAAAGGATCCCAGGTTGTAAGAGGGAGGCAACGCGTGAGCGGGCAGAGCATTCCATTTACGGAGAGTGCGACAAAGAAATGAGTCACCAAATTTCTTTGTACGCGTTGGAATTGTGGCCACAGTTAGACGGTGACAACGTAGGCTAGCGCGCGTGGTCCTCTGAAGGACGTGGTAGAGGACGGGTCAGGGTAGGCAAAGGCGCGAGTGATATTTTTGCTATCGCAAGCGTCTATAGTCTACGGTACCGCTTACAAGCAGGAGGGCCACATGCTTGTCTGCCACACTTTAAACATATAAAAAACAGAAATCTAAACTCAAACAGTCATTGCTACAAAATAACCACCTATGACACAGAATATTGAAAACTGTTACATGTAGAAAACATCCGATTTATTCGACGACGAATGATGCAGTGAAACCGAGTCGGGAATTGATTCCCCCGTCTGTCGTCGCACAAAATCGTAAGCCCATTTTCGTCGTAATATTTTTTTTTGATAAATGAGCAGACTCGCGAAGGACAGAAGGGTGTTTGTTACCAAGGTCACTGGAACAACCGCAAAATACCGTAATGTCAAGCTAAGTTTCGGTTCATTAAAGGTAGTTTATTACAACCAACGTAGGAACTGGGTATTAGATACGGCAGGTAATGTTAGATAGAGGCGACATAGGTGACGTACCTATGTTGTATCGACCTAACCGAAGACTTCAAAATATATATTGCGTTTAGAGTTCATTTTAAAATTACCCTGTACTTCAAAGTACCCTGCTGTACAGCAAAATTTAGCAAAATCGGTTGAACAGTTATTAGGCATATTTTTTTTCAATTTGTTAGTAGGTGGTATATGTAAATGGAAAATCTACTTACGATGTTGCCAATCCGCTCTTGGTTCATCTTCATCACTATTAGCTAAATAATTTGTGCATAAAGGTTGTTTGGGAAACCCAACTCTGGACAGCATTGTTACCTCCTCCTCTGTAACAAAAACCATGAATCTAATGTTCTCAGTACCTACACGATCTCGTGATGTAGATTTGTCAATTACAATGGTGTAGCTTTTTATTATTACACCCAGAGAACACAGAAAGAGGTTAGAAGGGTGATCTACACCGTTTGTATGGGAACCGATGTCGTCGGCTCGCCCCTTCTACACTTCCATCTAATAGATAATAGCCAATCAAACGACGCGACATCAAACAATCGAACCAATCAGCGCTCACAGCCGAGAGCAACGACGCAATCAGAACCAAGTTTTGGTCAAGTTATGAGCATTTGCTCACACATTAATGTCTCCGCCTGCCCCGCCCGCAAGGCCCTGCTAACCTCTTTCTGTATTCTGTAATTAACACCAAGGTTTCCATATTGTGGACTGAGGGACCAGAAGGAATTTCTCACTAGTAGTCTTAAAACAATTGAAAAACGACTCTTGGAATTTATAATAACATATTATTATTTTAAAAACCACAGGCCATTAAGTGTGGTCCCTCAGTTCTTACAGGCCATCAGCCAGACCTAGGAAAGTATCTATAAAAATAATCACCAACCGAACAATAATAATCAAACACCAAAACCTGCTCTGTTACATTGTGTAAATAATTTGGACGAAGAATTTAGCTAGTAAATACAATAAGAAGTTAAAAAGTTTCTTTCATAAAATCTGCAATGAACTTCCCTCAGCAGTTTTCCCTATTAGCTAAGATATGAAGGTCTTCAAAAGCGGGTAAACCCTTTCCTTCGGAACCGGCAACGCAGGAGTACCCTTGGTGCTGCAAGTGTCCATGGGCAGTGTCCACAGAGGCGGCGTAAGGCGTGGGCGACGTGGGCCGCCGCACAGTGGGTGAAAAAAAGAGGGTCCCCTTTCATAGGATTTTTGAAAAAATAAAAATGTTTATTATCCGTTTAAGGTATGCGGTTTTATTGGACATATCAGTACATTGAATAATAAAATAGTTTGGGGAATTTCCTTTTAATCTAACACCATAAAGCACGGGCTTTAGAGTTTCAAATGTATGAAAACGGAATTTGTTTTGCTCATAACTTGTATCGGTCTTCTACGGTCAAGCTGAAACTTATAGGGATTATTACCGGGTCTGTTACGAAGCCATGTGACCTTTGACCTTCACCCCGGACGGCCCCGTTCAAAAGATACGAATTTTTCAAAATGCTTATTAGGGTAATTTTGCTTTACGGGGTTATGTGTCTCAATAAACAGTTTGTTTATGTTTCTTGCCCAGCATTTAGTTATTAATATAACACAGATTATTATCTAATAAAACTACACAGTAGATAACGCCACCATACAACTTAACTTTAAATAAAAGCGTCCTTATTCAAAAGATATGGAATTAATATATAAATAGATAAAAGAAATAGTTTTAAGAAAAAGAAAACAAGAATACAATATTGTAAAGAATTACAATGAAGTCGTTTACAGCCTACAATTTAATCTTTTGTTTGACAATCGCTTAAAAGCCGCGCGCCATTAACGAGAGCATCATTACATATAAACAATACAAACTCTATTGTTGCAGGTTTTGAGGAATTCAAAGGGTTACCCACAGTCATTACCTGCCGTTGTTTGCCTATAATAATTAATTTTGTCAAACAAACATACTTACACTTACAATGTCTATCTAAGAAAGGGTTTGATCAAATATGTTTATTTTGGGATACCTAGAACTTTAACTGACTAAGCTTAAAATGAACAAAGTGTTTTTCCAGATAAACTAGCTGGTTATTAATATTAGTAAATGTAGTAAGGGAGATTCTGATATGTTACTGCCAAACGATAAAATAAACTATTTACATTATGAATAAAACAAAATTATTAACATCAATATTTTTATTGACAAAACTTAAATTAGTAACTAAGCTTGATATCATAAATTAAATAATGCATAATAAGGAAGCCACAACTGTATAAATTACTACACACATACAAGCTAAAGTATAAAAGATTAGTAGAACTCAAATTGGCTACAACAGTTCTTAAATACGTAAACTGTTTATATTAATATGATACAAAGATACAAAAAAATAAAAATACAAAGTTTGATATAATTTGATTTGAGGGAAAGAACACATACTAATCAAAGTCATAATCAGATACATTACATACATCTACAAACTCTATATTTTCCTTATCTTCACAAGAAGTTAATAATAATGATTTAGCTTCATTTGTGAGAGGTTTATTTCGTTGACATATTTTAGGCCTGAAACTTGATAGGTATGGGTCAGACGATATTAACAAATTATTGATAATATCTTCATTTGTTGCAATCCTGCTAGATTTACGCGAGTGGAAAGCTCTGAAGTTTTTAAAATCTTTGTTACGAGCTTCAGAGGCCTCTTCAGAGAGCTTGCCGATTGGTATAAAGTTATTGTGCTCTATTATATCGGCACCATGAATGAGTAATTTATGCACGCTTGAGGGCATATAATACCATTCATAGAGCTCGACATATTTGCGTGCTGTAGCAGCACAATATTGGCGGAATTTTTCCACGTCCACAAACTCTCCACATGAGATAGCCTGAAGAATCACTCCAAATCTTCTAACGAGTTCTTCATCAACACCCGTTATTTGAGCAGTAATTTGAGGATTAACAAAAAATCTTCTTGCTGTGTTTCCATCGTTGCTTGTACCAGCCCCTTGTTTAACAACGTCCACAAGTAGCCCCGTTTCAGTCCGGAATTGTTCTTGAATAGCCTTTTTTCTTTGGCTTAACTGTTGCTTCAAATCTTCGCCCTTAGCTTGCCATTTCTTGAAGTCGAGACGGTAAGCAATATGTAAGATACATTACATGCATCTAATTCGTGCATGGAGGGAAGACAGACCGAACTTAAACATGTCTACAGACTGGGTTCTCTGAGTAACCTTGTCGTTAACATTCATTTCTTTTGGTTTTGCTTTGCATATATCGCATGTAGCTGTGGATGTATCTGATAAATGTGAAGTTATTTTACCATCAATCATCGTCATATGCAGAACGTGTTTTACATTTGCACCATCGATAACAGTTGGACGTAGAGCAGCAATTTCCGTATCAATTGAAGTCATTTCTTCTTTAACATTCAAATCGTTCTCTTTAGCAAACTTAAAATAAATGGGTCGACAGTAAAACGTTGAAGACGCTTTGGGGTTTTCCCATATTATTTCATCAGTACCATCTCTCACCAGTTTTAACGGCACAAATGAACACATGAAGATGCTTGAATCATCGCCGTCAATTTTTTGTTGGTAGTTGCTTTGCCCAGATGCACCGTCAAACCCCCATTTACTGATAAGAGTCGAATTACTGCCAGTTAAATCAGTTTCCAGAGTTTTTAATAGTCTCTTGACCGTAATATCTAAAATAGACTGAAGTTTAAGTTTAACTTCAGTCTCAGTTATTACCATGTCTTCTTTTTCAACGTAGCACTCCTTCTTCTCTTGCTTCAAAGCATCATACGATGGAAGTATATCACACCCCATGTCTCTCATTGTCTGCCTCAATGTAATATACTGCCATTTCGATAATTTCAGTGATGTTGAAATACCGAGTGCCTTATCGGTATGACAAGTTCGTTTCGTCGATTTCAGGCAGGCTCGCAGCATTGGCGCATCTTCAGGCTTTTTAATCAAATGCTTCACTAATTCTACAAAGTCCGTTTGGTTTTCATTTTCCGCTTTCCTAGCCAGGGCATAAGCAAGTGTCTCAAAATCGTTTTCGGCAATGAGATTTTCAGTTCTTCTTCTTTTTTGCAGTGGACTCAAATTGGCAAATTCTTTTCGAGGACTAAATGTAGCGGTTGATGTCGACACAGCCACACTATGAGGAACAGTGCATTCCGTTGATAAACTAGGTCTTGTTACTGTTGAAATACTTGTTGAAGGATCTTCAAAACTCGTCATAATATTTGATTGTTCTTCAGTTATGTCTAGTGAAACAAACTCTGGCCATTTTATTTCTTGGTCCAACCAGTCAGCAAACTTCTTTATAAAATTCCCTTGTGTGTAATTAGCTGACTTCCATTTGCGTTTAAGATTACTCGTATATGTAGCACAAAACGTTTTAAGAGTTGTCTTTTGTTCTTCAGATAATGAAAATCTCACTGAATCGAGTACTTTTTGTTATTTCAAAAAGTCGTCGAAAGATGTCGGCACTAAAATATTTTTGCCTCATATATATATATATATACGTCGAGATTAGACACAAGCCCTTCCATTCTGAGCAACTTAAAATTTGAGCAAAGAGAACGTTACGGTACGAATCAATAATGATAAGTGAAACGAAATACAGGTGTACTCCGTATTTATTATAATCGAAGTCATTGTTGAATAATAATAATAACAACGTATTATTTATTCACCTACCCACAATAAAAGCAAATAATCAGTAATTATTATAGGCTAACAATTGCAGGTAGTGACTGTGGGTAACCCTTTGAATTTCCCAAAACCCGCCACAATAGAGTTTGTATTGTTTATATGTAATGATGCTCTCGTTAATGGTGTGCGACTTTTAAGCGATTGTCAAACAAAAGATTAAATTGTTGGCTTTAAACGACTTCATTGTAATTCTTTACAATATTGTATTCTTGTTTTCTTTTTCTTAAAACTATTTCTTTTATCTATTTATATTAATTCCATATCTTTTGAATAAGGACGCTTTTATTTAAAGTTAAGTTGTATGGTGGCGTTATCTACTGTGTAGTTTTATTATATAATAATCTGTGTTATATTAATAACTAAATGCTGGGCAAGAAACATAAACAAACTGTTTATTGAGACACATAACCCCGTAAAGCAAAATTACCCAAATAAGCATTTTGAAAAATTCGTATCTTTTGAACGGGGCCGTCCGGGGTGAAGGTCAAAGGTCACATGGCTTCGTAACAGACCCGGTAATAATCCCTATTAGTTTCAGCTTGACCGTAGAAGACCGAGACAAGTTATGAGCAAAACAAATTCCGTTTTCATACATTTGAAACTCTAAAGCCCGTGCTTTATGGTGTTAGATTAAAAGGAAATTCCCCAAACTATTTTATTATTCAATGTACTGATATGTCCAATAAAACCGCATACCTTAAACGGATAATATACATTTTTATTTTTTCAAAAATCCTATGAAAGGGGACCTCTTTTTTTCACCCACTGTGCGCCGCCTACGGCCTCGCGGTACAAGGGGCCTCGCGCCTCAAAAATTTTTATGCATTGCTTAAAAGCGAATTTCTTTTTTTTTATTATTTCATAAAATCCGTCTTCAGGTCGCCACAGAACAGGGCCTCGCGAAATCTGTCTTGCCCCGCCACTGAGTGTCCAGTTACCATCAGGTGGACTGTCAGCTCGTATATACATAACAAAAAAAGTGAAGAGAGACTTTTAAAATCAACATATGTATGGAAATATACATCACACTAATTTTATAAAGGCGAAAGTTTGTGAGTCTGTGAGTGTTATGTTTATTACTTCTTCATGTCTTTTTCTATATTTCTTCATGGAGTTAGCTGATACCCTGGATTAACACATAGGCTATGTTTTGCTGCGGGAAAATATCCCTAATAAACCACGGGTAACACCGAGGGGCACAGCTAGTTCTATCATAAATGTGGTTGTGGGATATAAAATTGGAACGGAATGTATTTTACGAGTATTCTGTCAATATTCTGAGTATGTTGTCTTTATTGTACCTAACTATAGTAAGTTTAGATTTTTATGTTGCCCTTATTGTACCTAAGCTACTTGATGACGTGTTCACAATACAAGGCATTTTAATTAAACTGAAATTGATATTCTAAATTTTACCTTCTAGGGACACGCACATGGTCCAAATTCCTCCGTTCATAGGTACTAAAAATGTCCCTCCGACGCCTTTTCTGTTGCCAGTCTCCTCAATCTGTGAAAGAAAAAAAAAAGATAGTAGGTAAGAATATTACAAGCTCCCGGATTAAGTAATTTTCCAAACTTGAAATTGTTGGGCCGAGCTGAGAAGAAAAAGAAAAACGCGTCAGCTGGTTTTGCTTCTCAGATAATAAAAGTATACCGGTTGCGATTTTTCCCAAGAACGGCCGCACTAATGCGTCCATTAATTTTTATTTTTAGTTGACTGAAGATGTTGCCTTCACTGTCTTTGCAAAAGTAGTAGAATAAGACGACACGTAGGTAGATTGACGTTAATTAAAATAGGGTCTCACTGCTGTACTTGAGCAGTTTCCTTATACGTTTGGAAGCTGTAGGCTCTACAGAAAACATACTTTTTTATATAGAACTAGTGGCCCGCCCTCGCTTTGCTTCGGTGTAGAGCTGTAGTGAGACTATAATTTTTGTTCAAAGGCTTGTATTATACACCATGACCTTCTTCCAGTCCAGTCCAGTACTTTTTGAGCCAATTCGTTACAAACATACTTACATACAAACTTTTCCTCTTTATAATATTAGTATAGATAGAACCTAAAAAAATGCGGGTCGGATTCGTTCACTAAGGATTCGATACCTACCATTATTACACATTTTTTAAAACAATTTACCTAAAAGCATTTGTTGCCCACAGTTCTGCGGCACGCGTTCTGTGGAAAATTTCAGATGTCCACCTTACTTTCTTTATAGAGCCCTGTGATAAAAACACCGTGGTCTCCGCTGAGCGAAGGCATAGTAATAGGGTTCTGCTTGTCATCGTTTCGGGTGCAGCTAGCTTTTGATTCTCCTTACAAAAGTGTGCATGCGATGAGTTCCTTTTAAAAAATCATTCTCTAGAGTGGTGATTGTCACGGCCCGGGATATTGCGGATGGACACGGAATACCTAAAATGACCAGGGACAGCGACGCACCGCACGTCAAACACTGTATATAAATACCGTGCCTTAATGCTAGCACTTCACATGGCAATTCGTATTCGTTATTTGTAATTTCGGAATGGAAGGTTCTCGAGTCGCCAGCACTGAACGACGCTTAGTGGGCAGCCCAGGGTTTTTTAACACGTTTTTGTTAGCTCGACTTGTATGTATGTAATAAAAATCTAAGAATCTGAATTACAAGCACTTCACTTCTTGTATCATTATGAAACTTGGCAATTATATGTAGGTTAGATGACAATATAATGTTATAGTACCATCGAGCTGGTATGATTATGGGACTGGAAGATGGCTGATGGAACCTTGGACTGCCTATTAGTAAACATATCGATTTTGGGCTCGTTAGATTCGTCTTAACGCATTCTATTAATTTTTCCTGATGACTGAAACTAAAAAGAATAAAATAAATTAATAGTTTAAAGAAAACTAAAAACACGCTTTTATTTACTGCACTAAAAAGCCAAAAATAAACAATATACTCTCTGTTTACTTCATTAGGGCTTTAGAGTTAGCCATGTTTACAGTTTATTTTAACATACATATATAATTGAAAAAGCTTGTGGCGCTTTATTATAAAATTTTAACTGAATTGTAAGCATTATGAATCACGTAATATATTAATTGTTTTGATAAATATTGCAATGAAAAGCGCCTCACGCTTTTTCAGTTATATATGTATGTTTAAATAAACTATAAACATGGCTAACTCTAAGGCCCCAATGAAGTAAACAGAGAGTATATTTTGTTTATTTTTGTCTTTTTAGCGCAGTAAATAACAGCGTGTTTTTAGTTTTCTTTTAAACTATTTTTTTTTTCTTTATGTCTTCGCACGGCTTGTGCATTTAGATAATGTCAAGTGTTAAAATGTTTACAAATACTATAGCACTCGTGGTCAAAGTAATAAATCAAGTCAAAGTAAATGGCAGTCAAGTCAATCCCCCTTTCCCTATGTTTCAGTAAAAGTGTGGGGATTTACTGGAACCTCCCCGTGGACTTCTTGAGAGAACGTCGAAAGACAGTTTCCGCTATTTTGTTTCACTTGCCAACACTTGTGCATGTTCCCGAACACTTAGTGGTTAATAATCCACCATTATAAGACACTAACATCCGCCACAAAACAATTTTTAACAAGAAAAAGAAAACTGCTAAAGTGTCGCTTCCCGATCCCGCCAAAAAGTCCACTATACATTTTTTATGTTAAAAGTGTGGCAAACAAGCATATCGCCCGCCTGATGGTAAGCGGCCACCATAGCCTATAGAAGCTTTCGATACCAAAAATATCATTCGCACCGTTGCCTAACCTGCCCCAGACTCCTACCAGTGGAGCCGATAATTCTATTGAAGGTCGCTGGAAAACGCAGGGGAGGCCTATGCTCAGCACTCGGCAGTGAGTGCCGTATAGCTAAACATTGATGATGATTTGCAATTCTGACAGCAGTATATCACTATCACTAGTATTCTACAGGAAATGATAAGGAGAGACCAACAAAATGACAAGTAGCAAATTCGAATAGCCATCTGCAGTACTTACATAAGACTCGTCAACGACAAAGATCACACTCGTCCCAAGGTACCAAAATCAATAAATTAGTAGCTGAATCTGGGTTATCTAATCTAAGTTACAATGGTGACCTTTTGGACCAGAGGTAGGTATTTTGGGCGCCAATCAATATTTGCAGATTAAACATAGTCAAACGATGCAAATATGAGCACAGCACATTGGAGGCTGCATTGGAATGGCATCGGAATGACAAAAAATGTTTGCGTTACAGTTATAGGTATATTGTTGTATGCTTAATATTCTTCAAATCTTAACCTGATACTTATTTATTAAAATACTTAAAGAATAAAATGTATTATTATTAGAAATGAAGCATATTTTTAATGTTTATACAAATGTCGCTATTTTAGACTCGCTAGTTTCTAGATGGCCCGTAACTAAAGCTCTTATATTAGGGTTCCGTACCTCAATCGGGAAAAACGGAACCCTTATAGAATCGTATAGTATAGTACTAACGTAATAGTACATACGTATGTATGTATGTTTGTGATCCAAAAACGGACAAATAAATTCCAAGTATGGAGGTATATTAGAAAATTAAAAACTAAAATTTAGCTTACTAAAAAAACCGCGTTATGCCTGTATCAAATGAAAGGTCTCAATGTGCAAGTTACAAAAATATTTTTTCAAAAATAATAGTTCCAAAACGATTTAAGAAAATAGATGAAAATTGACCTGTCCCATGCCTTATCCCCGAAACTAATGCGTCTAAAAATTTGAAAGAAAAAGTAATCTGTTAAAAGCTCTTTGCTTGTAGATTATAGGAAAACTTATTGATATTATCTTAGTAAATAAAATAAAATAAATATTTAAGGGGGCTCTCATACAACAGACATGTTTTTTTTTGCCATTTTTTGCTCGATACAATAATACATATCATAATTTTGTGAAGTTAAAAATCAAGGTATTTTTGGTGTTCTTTCTTATCAGGTACACAAAGTTTTTAAGCTCTTTTTTTGGGATAGGTAACGATATTCAATAACTTTATACCCCATAATCAATTACTTCGGTTAGGGTTATCAGGTCGCCAGACCAATATAGCCGGAAAGACCAGCCAGTTCGGCCGGACATTTAGGTAAAAAGGCTTGAGACCCTACATTATTAAAGATTTTGTGGCTCAAATATTAGGTACGGTACGACAAAAAAAATCACGTAAACGCGACCGACAGTCAAGTCGCTTGCGCTGGGCCACGCTCGGCGCTCGTTCGTTTGCGTAATGTAAAAAGCCTAACAAAAGCCGGATACCGTTTATTTTAGACGGCAATGCAATCACAAAGCCTAACTATGTCCGGCTTTATCCAGACGCCTGGCAACACAGCTTACAGCTGAGCTGAGTGGAGTTTTAGGCGGGATTTCATCGGGTGTGGTTGGCGTTTTATTTCAATTATTCTAAAATTCAATCATAGTGGATATTATGAAATAAAATTGGTGTGATTTTGTGTTACAACCATCTGCGCAGCTGAAGAATTAGTGGAATCTTTAAAATATACGCTATACCGGTCAAGTGGACGTGAGAACTTTATTGTAGTGTTGACTACCTCACAGAAGCTAATCGAAAAAACCAACTCGATACATTTCGTGCCAAACACTTCAAGAAACATTAGAATGCGTCACACCGACATTCTAATGTAAACAAGAAGATTAAGATTTGTATTTATGTATATGACTGAAGGTCATGAATTATTAAAAAAAACTGAGCTGAGTTATTATGTTGGTGGTTTAAGTAACGTGTTACATCGTAGTTGTTTGGCTTCTAGTCGATCAAGCTGAACAAATCACGTGCATGCTAATCACTGATTTTTGTTTATAAATATGAAACGCATCTCATTAGGTTAAGATCAAGCCCTAGCCCGTCCCATGGAGAAAGTAACCACTTAGTTTTACATTAAGTAGGTAACTATTGAAAACGATCTTTTTATCCCTTATGCCGTTTTCGTAACTAATTTTCATAACTCCTACAAACTGGTTATTTATTATATAAAGAGAGAAAAGGATACACTGACGACTGACTGACTCATCAACGTACAGCCGAAACGGCTGGACCTAGAATGATGAAATGTGGACTGTAGGTTCCTATTATTGCCTAGACAAGTAATAAGATGGGATTTTTTGAAATTCAGCCTGTCAGCAGTTGTGATCCGTCAAAGAGTCAAAACCTCTGTCAATCAGTTGTGATCCGTGAAAGAGTAAAAACCTCTGTCAGTCAGTTGTGAATTGTGATCCGCCAAAGAATCAAAAACTCTTATCGGTCAGGTTGTGATCCGTCAAAGAGTAAAAACCTCTGTCAGTCAGTTGCGATCCGTCAAATAATAAAAACTCTGTCAGTCAGTTGTGATCCGTCAAAGAGTCTCTGTCAGTCAGTTGTAATTTGTCAAAGAGTCAAAATGTTTCCATAGTAGGTATTTAATACACCCGTGTGAAGCGGGCCTCTAGTTGATTATTAAACTTATTCAACTTTCATAACTGCAAAATATTTCTATTTCA